GAGGAAAAAAGATGAACTGAAGAAGAAAAGTGGTACAATGGTATTATTAAACAATATGGAACATGTAATACTTTGCATCTATATCGGCTAACTTCTATTCATTCTTTGAAGTTTAAGCTTAAACACTGCTGCCTCTGGAAGCCTTTTTGATTTACCCTAGCACTCTATTCCCTGTGCTCCCACTGCTTTTTGTTCATAACTCTATTAATCGTCACTGTTGACTAGTGGTTTTCAAACTTTAGTGTGCACTAGAATCATCTAGAGGGCTTGTTAAAAGCATAGATTGCTGAGCTACACCCTCAGAGTTTCTGATTCAATATTTGGAGCTGGGCCTGAAAATTTGCATTTATACAGGTTAACTGTTATTACTATACTGAAACTATACTTTGAGAACCATTGAGCTAAACTACATTTTTCTGGAAAGCAAGAGAATTCATGATTTTATGTTTTATACATAAAGTATAAAGCAGTATCTGTAATGTTTTTACCTCCTCAAATATTTACTGAATGTATAAAGGAAGAAATGAATGAAGCCATTACAAACTCTTACCTTCTCTGTAAATCTATAACTTCATTTAGAGCCTTTCATTCATTCTTGGCATGAGTTTGCCTTCTAAGATGTTGAGATCAAAGCCAATCCAAAACTTTCTAAACTTCCCTCTTCACTCAAAAATGTCTATCTTTACTCCTTACTTTTCTCATGTATCTCAGAATAATAATGTTCTTCCACTTTTCTGAAGCTAGCTTTTCCCTGCTCTCTCTCCTTCTGGGAGCTTCATCATTAGTCCCTTCTTTTTTCTGGTGTTTTTAGTTTTTCCCTCTCATTGGTTCCTTAAAGAAAATTTCATGTGTTCCTTATTCAGTTATGATGATTTGGGCTGCAAGTAGCAGAATGCCTGACTCAAACTGCTTCTTGCAATGGGGACCTTATTGGCTTATATGACTTGAAGTCCAGCAACTAGATAAACCCTAGGGTTGTTAAGTCATATAGTTGACTCTGGTTCCTTCCATCTGCTCTGCCTTTAACAATGACAAGGTTATTTTCCTTATGGTTTTAGGATGCTTTGTTTGCAGTTAGGGCTGCATGCTTCCTTCATGGGGGGAGGGTGGGACAGTGAGTGAATGAGAGTCCCAGAAACTCCCCCAAGAACAAAGATAAGTTTCCTAGAAGTCTACGGTGAACATTTCCTCTCTCATCTGCCAGAATTCCTTCACAGCCACATTCCTGAACCAACCACTGACAAAGGAGATAGAATTATGTGGAGCTGGACCTAGACCTCAGCCTACTTCCTTCAAACACAAGGTTGCCTGAAGATAATACAAATACTGGTCAAATTTGAAGTTGCATTTGGAAAGAAGGGAGGAATGGATAGGCAATCAAAATTTCCACTGCACCAAGCTTAAAAAGAGATAGCAGTTGGGCCAAATAACTTTAGTTTTACCTATTATTTTGGTTACTGTTATATTTTACTCTTTGCCTTTTAGGGTCGGAGATATTGAAAATTCATTACACCTACTACCTCCATTGCCTTTTCGTTCATTAGCTTCTAAGCCCTTTTTTACCTAGTGTTTTCCTCTCCACCTCTTGGGAGCTGTTCTATCAATGATCATTGTAGTAGGCATTGTTAGTTGCGACCACATCTTCTCTCTTTCACTGTATATCAGCCAGGTATTCTGGGTAGGACTGATCTTAACTGCAGCTCCAGCAATGGTCATGATCAGTCTAACTATCAAAATATTCATCATGACTTAAAAGGGTGGGTAACCCAAGACTAAGCCAGTCAATGCACAGTGCTACCTTAGCCAGAGTAATTGGCCCGGAAGAACTGACCTAAGTTGATCTGATCTGTGTGAAACCTTGTACTTGTTTCAGTGATTGAGGAAGAAGAAGTGAGTGTGGAGAAGTTTTCTCCGTTTAGGTACCATGAAGAATGCTAGTCTGGGGATGAAGTCAAAACACAAAGCAGAGTAGGGCGGGAATAGTAGGGGGAGAAGTGCCAAAAGAATGGAGCTGGAAGCTTGATCAACTGCCTGAAGCCTAATTTATCTCTAGACTTTATTTATACCTATAGATTTCCTTTACTTTAAAATCAATTTGAATTAAATTTTCTTTTTCTTACTACAACAAACTGATAATGGTCACCAATGGTCTCCTAATTTCCAAACCCATGGACTTTTTGAAGTTCTTGTCCTTTTAGATTTCTTTGAAGCGTTTGACACTATTGACAATCTTGTGTTTTGAAAGTCTTGGTTACCTGGTTTCTTTGCTTTCTCCCTTCCTTACTTACAAAACTCATTACAGAAAGCTTGTAAAAGAAAAGTTATAAAATGAACATATTATAATTTTAGGATGTCCAAAACCATCATTCAAAACTTGGCTAAGAGAAGTGACATGAAGAGAAGAGAGAGCAGGAAAAAGAGAGAGGGAGAGTTTGAGAGAGAGAGGAGAAAGATTATGATACTGCATTTTTTCAGAAATCTACTAGGTATTATAAATTAGAATCTTTCACATAGTTAGATCCACATATGATCTGGAGCTTATTGGCTTAATATCCTCTTGGCCACAAAATCATAAGGTAAATCACAAATTTAACAAATGTTAATTGGCAAATAAATTGCTCATCACTGCCCAGATCTCCTCCTGCTACCTCAGACTGTGTCTCTATATATTGGAACTATCTTTTCCTTTTAAAATCTACTTCTACCTTCTGTCTTCTCTGCTGGTACAGGGTTCCACTATTCTTTCAACTGCTTAGGATGAATTTCTCTTTATTCTGTTTCTTCAGTGTCTTCCATGCTTATTCCTGCCTCTTCAATTTTACTGCCAGAACCCAAATTTAGGCCGTGTTACTTTTGCTTTAGATTTGCAATAGTCTCCCAACTGGTATTCCCATCCCCACTTTACCTATTCCAACCCATCTAACAAACTACTGAAAAGTCATCTTCCAAAAGTAGATTTCCAATCAGTTGTTTCCCATTGCCTTCCAAGATAAATACAGTCTTCTTTCTCTAGCTTTTAAGGTTTTGATATGTTAAGCCTGATGTCTCACTCCCAACTTCTCCCAGCATGACCTGCTTTCATGGCTTTATCTCGTCTATGACTATACTAGAAATATTGTCCCTGATGTTTTTGATCATCAAAATCTTATCTACCTTTCAAGATTCATCATAAAAGCTATTCAGAAAATCTTATTTTACCTCTTGTTGTATAGACTCCATTTGTAAATAAAGTGTAATTAGATACTTTATGTATTCAAAATCTGTTGCATTTAAAATTAGGATCATGCAAATTTTCATCTTTAGCTCTATAAATAAACTTTATACAATAGCAAGTAGAAGGAAAAAAGGATTCCACATTTAATTTCTATATCTACAGACACTTTTTTGTTTTTTCCTTCACAACTGTTTATTTTCAAACGGGCTATAGATGTTACAAAATTCAAAAGTTTCAAAAGGGTGTAAAATGTAAAATAAGACTTCCCTTGCTCCTGTTCTCCCCTCCCCCAGTTCCTCCTCCCTAGAGGCAACCATGTTACCGGTTTCTTGCCTGTGTTCATCCAGGGAAAGTTAACTAGAGGTACATGTTTAATTTATATATGGATTTGGGAGTGGTAGAGGTATGCATTCAAACTCAGTAATAAGAAAACACGCAATTCAATTTAAAAATGGGCAAACAATTTGAATAGAGGCTTCCACAAAGAAGATATATGGATGGCAACTAAGCACATGAACAGACATTCAACCTCAGTAGTCATTAGGGAAATACAAATTAAAGCTACAGTGAGATATACCACATAACTATTAAAATGGCTAAGATTAAAAAGACTGACCACATCAAGTGTGGGTGAGAAGGAAGAGGAACTGGAACTCTCATATGCTACTGGTGTGAATATAAAATGGTACAACTACTTTGGAAAACAGGCAGTTTCTTAAAAATTTAAACATACACATACCATTTGATCCAGCTATTCCTCTCCTAGGCATTTACTTAAGAGAAAGGGAAACACATGTCTACATTAAGACATATATACACAAATGCTCTTAGCAGCATTATTTGTAGTAGTCAAAAACTGGAAACAATTCAATGTTCATCCATAGATGAGCAGATTAACAAACTGTGGTATGTCCATAAAATAGAATACTACTCAACAATAAAAAGGCACCAACTATTAATACATGCATCAACATGGATGAATCTCAAAATCATTATGTTGAGTGAAAGAAGAAAGAAAAAAGGTACATACTGTATTATTTTCATATTTATAAAATTCTATAAAAAGGATACTAATCTGTACATCTATAGCGACAGAAAGCAGATGAGTGATTGCCTGAGAATGGGTGGGTAGAAATGGGATAGGGATGGATTGCAAAAGGAACTAGGAAAATTTTAGAGACATTGGATATGCTTATTATTATGACTTTGGTGATGGTTTCACATATGTATGACTATTTTAAACAAATCAAATTTTACACCCTAAATATGTGCGGTTCATTATATGCTAATTTATATTTCCATGAATCTGTTAAAAAACAGTTAAAATCAAGCCTCGCATTCCCCGTTTAGTTTTTTTTTTTTGCACTAATACTTTTTATAGGGTTGAAAGAAATTCCAAGTCTCCCTCTCCCTCCACGACCCTACCACAAGAAAACCTTAACCAACACCATCTACCTGGTCACTGAGACATCAATCCCGTCTCCCTGGGTGTTTTCTCTCAGCTTCCCGCTAGGGGACAGGAGCGGGGAGGTCGAAGCCCTTGCCTCTCTAGCTCAAAACCAGCGCTTGCATGCACTTCCGGCCCCGTTCTGTTCCGCTTCTTGAAGGACGTACAAGCTGTGGTACGCGTTCCCTGTGGTCTGTAAACGTTGAGATATTCTGCTCCGCGGGTTTTTGCATCTCGGAGTTAGGCAGCCGCAGTCGCTTCTTAGCGGGAAGTGTATCAGGTTCACCGCTGCTCGGAGCGGTCCTTTGTTTTCCACTGGAGCGGAAGGAGAGTGCTGCCATGACGGCCCCTGCTCAGCCCAAGAAAATCGTGGCCCCTACGGTGTCCCAGATCAACGCGGAGTTCGTGACCCAGGTGCGCTTGGGCGAGTCTGGTGTGTGTGAAGGGGTGAGGACGCTGAAGCCCCGAGGCCAGGACGTGGGATTTTTCTTGGGAACGGGAGCAGCGAGGAGGCATTCGTTTGTCAATTCATACACTCAAGTCTTTTTACTAAAGAGTACGTGCTGTGTGCCAGCAACTGTGCTAGCTGTTGGGGAGACCGTGGTGAAAGAGGCTCTGCCCCGAGGAGTTCATGTTCCAGGGGAGACAGACACATGAAAAGAAAGTTATTATGCGAGCTTTGCTCTGTTAGAGTTCGTCGCAGGAGCGATGGATTCACAGAAGGAACACCCCAGTCACCTGAGACTGGCAAGAAGGTTCCATAGCAGAGGTGATACTGAACTGAGGGTCGAAGGAGGGATAGGCTTATTCTTAGCCTTAGAGTAACCTAGATCTTTGAAGGGAATGGTGAGAATTTGACAAGACACCTGCTCCAAATACATGCATCTACGAAGAGAGCAATCCCATGGTCAGAAAGCGTTCATTTAAAACCTGTTGATTGTGTTGCATGGTGAACCGCGATTGGCTTTGAATAGGGAAACATAGCCCTGTAGCACTGAGCAACTTTCCTAATCCTTATTTGTTGCTTTGGGTGTTGGATAAGAGTGCAAGTAGCTCTGTGCAGAACTTATTACTCACTTGCTTCTTTCTTCTCTGTGCCCTGTTTCAGCAGATTTGCCAAGGCAGAAGCATAAGAGTCATTTTGAATCCTTTCTTAAAGAGTTCTAATTGCCCTTAGGATAATGACTGGAATCATTCACCTTGTTTTGTGATCTGACCCATGCTTATATCCAGTTTCCTCTCTTTTTTTCCCTCCTTTTCTAACAGTGTTTAGCCATACTGAACTGCATTTATTTGTGCCATGCAATCTTTCATCTCCTGGCACCTCCTTTCAACATTGTTCCCTCTACTTCATTTTTTCCCCTACCTTTTCTTATATGGTTAATTCATTGTCATTCATCTACATTAATTTGGAGAGGTTTTTCTGGACAAGTTAGACTAGAACTCCCTTTTCCCATATGCTTGAATTTTTGTGGAAAAAGTTATTAGTTTCCTCCCCTTAGGGATCTTACATTTTAGAGGGATGAGTGAGACAAATGAACAGTGTAGTTTCAGACAGTGATTATTGCTATCAGGAAAATGAAACGGCATTGTGGCAGACTGGGTGGGGTTTATGAAGAGCAGTCAGGAGAGTCCTGACTAAGACCCGAATGAGCTAAGACCTGAATGCAAAAGCTAAGACCTGAATGCAAAAAAGGAGCCAGTCTGGGGAAGAGCAGGGAAACAGTCCAGGGAGTAGCAAGTGGAAATGCCTTATGGTGTGTATGTAAAGAAGCCAGGAGAGCGAACTTAAGAAGTAAGAGGGAGGATGGTATGAGATGAGGACAGAGAGTATGTAGGGATCCTACCATTTCCCTGCCCCTCCTCCTCCATTATTTCTGAGCACCTGGCACACCTGACCAGAGAAGGGGCTTTTTAATTATTATTGAATGAGTGAGATGTAGAGGTTAAAATTTAGTTTTAAGAAGGTCAGATATCTGAACTCTGTGATCTCACTTTTTTTTTTTTTTTTTTTTTGCGGTACGCGGGCCTCTCACTGTTGTGGCCTCTCCCGTTGCGGAGCACAGGCGCTGGACGCGCAGGCTCAGCGGCCATGGCTCACGGGCCCAGCCACTTCGCGGCATGTGGGATCTTCCCAGACCGGGGCACGAACCCATGTCCCCTGCATCGGCAGGCGGACTCTCAACCACTGCGCCACCAGGGAAGCCCTGATCTCACTTTTTTTAATGATGGTTAGCATTTTTTAGCAATAACGTATTTTTTAATTAAGGTATGTTCATTGATTTTTTTAAGACATAATGCTATTGCCACTTAATAGACTACAGTATAGTGTAAATTGTAACTTTTATATGTACTGGGAAACCAAAAAATTCATGTGACTTGCTTTATTGAGGTGGTCACTGCAATATCTCTGAGGTATCCCTGTATGTGTATTTAAATTCATATTTTTCAGGTAAAACCTGCTTTGCTGAAATACAACATACTGACTCTTTTATTCTTGGTAATAACCCACTGATAAACTACAACTTTTTTTTAGGTTTTGTTTAGGTGTGCCTGAATGTGTACTAATCACTTAAAGATTATTGTTTTGCAAATCAACGTTCCTGAGGATTTTGAATCTGTTTTTTAGGACTGGCTCACCTGTTAACTAATTGTAGTCTTGGGCAGCTCATTTAATCTTTCTAGACCTGGGTTTCGTTAGCTCTATGCTGAAGGTGTTTGACTGTGGTTATTAACTTCACCCTATTGTTTCCATAGGAGTAGTTTAAAAAGTATGTTTTGTTTTTTTAAAATCATAGTGGCAGGGTGCCATGCAGGGCATTACTGGCATTCAGTGGATTGGGCCCGAAGATGCTCACTGGTCTGCAAGCCCATATAGTCCCCTTGATAGGTAAATTACTCTATCGCCTCGTGCTGTGCCAGTAGTGCCTTGTTAAGAAACAGCTTGTTACTGAATGATCTCAGTCTGTTAGTGGTATGAATCTGCAGTGGTATGAATCTATGACTTACTGTTTATACTGTTTACTTTTGCAGTTAGCATGTAAATACTGGGCTCCCCATATCAAGAAAAAATCACCTTTTGATATAAAGGTAAGTATTTTTGGTTTGCAACATCCCTTTTGAATAGGTATGCTCTTTGTATCTTTTTCAAGAGCTAATTCGACAGAAGTTCTTCATAATTTTTTTAAAAGTTAAAATGAATGGTTTTCTAAACTAATAATTACTCATAATAGAAAATTTGGAAAATACAGAAGCTACACATAAGAAAATAAAAATAACTACCCAGAGATAACCTCTACTATCATTTGTTTTATTTCCTTTAAGCTTTTTAAAAAAATGTGTGTGGATTTTCCTGTTTATAGATTCTTAGATTGTTCTGATTTATCATTATTAGGTGATCATGTAATGAATATCTTCGTAAATACACATCAGTTTTCCTACAGTTTTTTTTTTTTTTTTGCGGTACGCGGGCCTCTCACTGTTGTGGCCTCTCCCGTTGCGGAGCACAGGCTCCGGACGCGCAGGCTCAGCGACCATGGCTCACGGGCCCAGCCTCTCCACGGCATGTGGGATCTTCCCTGACCCGGGCACGAACCCGCGTCCCCTGCATCGGCAGGCGGACTCTCAACCGCTGCGCCACCAGGGAAGCCCCTTCCTACAGTTTTTTTGACAGTTCATCTAGGATAAAATCTATTGTTTTCTTTTTTATTTTTAGGTTGATGAACTGAAAGATCTGTAATAGTGGTGGAAGAGGTGGGAGTTGTTTAGAGAATTAGATGACTGAGGGCCAGTCATATTCAATTAGGGAAGGGACTTAGGATTCAGGTGACACAATTTAGAATAAACGAAAGGCAGAATTCCTAATGGAGGATTAATTCTCATTGACTTAGGTTCTTAAAGAGAGGTCTTATAGAGCTAACATACACATGCCGTTTAACAAGTAGTGAAGACTCGCTTTAAGTTTGCCATTGTAAATTGAATTGTGATAATCTAGGCACTCTTATTAAAACTGAACTTAATCCCAAATTTCTCACATTATTTGAGCTTCAATGTTTTATTTATAAATATATTTTTGTTCTGCCATCAATCCCATTTTATTCATCAGGAGGATATTCATACACTTGACATACATTAATTACTCTTAATTATCAGCCAGGTTGCTTTATCTTACTATATGCTGTTTGTGTATGTTTGTGCTTGTATATGTTGGGTCTGGGGGTTCCTAGGTTCATTTTTCATAAATAAAAATATCTTTATGACACTACTAGATTGAGTTGAACTTAATTAGATCAAGGTTTTTAGACATTAAATTTATATTCAGATCATTTTAGTTAACACTAGATGAAGCTCTGTATAAGCTGGTATTTAAAGAAGATTATACCCTTCATTTTATTATTTAATTTGGATTTTGATAAACAGAAAAGCAATGACAGAAAATTTCATACAAATTCAAGACTTGCTTGCCTCATTGTCTTCCTCCCTTTACCACCCACAAACATTTATTTGAGAAGTATACTTTGAGCAGTTAAAAGACATAGTTGCCATAAAATAATATTATATTATACCATGTTAAAGTACTTCATAATTTTAGAGTAAGTTTTTTTTTTAACTACTCTTGTCACTAGCACTACTATTACTTCTGCTACTGATAACTATTATTAAAGGCTCACCATGTGCCAGGACCTGTACTGAATTCTTTACATGTGTTGTCTTATAGCAACCCCACGGGGTACTTCTTATTATTAGATCCTTTTTGTATACTGGGAAACTGAGCCTTAGAGCAGTCATGCATTTGCAAAGGTTGTAGTCTCCAGCAGTAAAGGTGGATGGTTTGAACCAGGCTTCCAACCCCAGAACCTGAATTCTTATGTATTATACCATCCTATCCACCCTAACCCAAGTAAGTGGAAATTCTGAGGTTTTATCATATGTGCTTGGAAAACAGGATGTAATGATTAGCATTTGCTTCTGTTATGCCTTTGCACTTTCAGTTTACTTTCTGGTTTTTGAAAGCACTTTGTTAAAACTCTTAGGTGGAGCCTGTTAACATTTATATACTTTGTTAAGTTTTAAAAAATATCCTGATCTTGTGAATTTTTATTTTCCCTAGAAATGAAATAAATACATCATTTTAATAATTATTTCTAGAGTTATTTTTATTTAGATATATTTTATTATTTATTTTTTCCTACTACTTTGCTTTCTGTTATTTTACATTTTGAGGGATATAATGGGATTATAAAAAATCTCTTAAGTATTATTTCAATAGCAGTGATATTTGATAGCTTTCCTAAACCACCTTGTTTTGTGTAATCTCAGTAATTGAAAACTCTCAATTTAGAGTCTGAAAAAAAGTTATTTGAGGTATTAAACATTTTTATATTTTTAACAGGTGATTGAAGATATATATGAGAAAGAAATTGTCAAATCAAGGTAGGAATGAGTTTAATTTTCATACATAGGAAGTAGATGGGACTAACTTGGATCTCATTTGAACTTCTAAACTAAATGTAATCATAAACTTGGAACTTTCCTTTTTTTGATTTGGTCATCAAGGAGATGGTGACCAGAAAAACTGTATCTAGCTGCTGAAGAGGCATAAGATATTTTTTTGCCTTTTAATTTTTGGCTCAGATTAGAGGGGTTAAGTTCTTTAGGGTTTATTTTGTTTCTGAAGGAACGTGAGGAAGAGTAAATATGGAGATTTAAAAATTTCAGTTCAACTAATACTAATTTTCTTATTTTCTGATAAATCTTTTTGAAAGATTATTTAAAAATTGGAAAAGTAAAATATACATGATAATAATTAAATACAAAATAATATGCATTTTGTACATAATGTACAAACTATATATATAATAAAAAATAAAAATTATTTTGAACAGTACACAGAAAGGGTAAGTTTCAGTACATCTTCTTCCCTGTCCCTTAACCCTCAGTTTCTTTACTTATGTATACATCTGTTCCAGTTCCCTACCCCTGTGATTTTTTTTAAAACAGCAAAGTTTATACTCTACATACCATTCTGCATCATGACTTTTTTTTTTTAAACAATGTGTCTTGGGCATATTTCCATATCTGCACCTGTAGATATATATGCCCAATGAGTATTTTAAAAGGTAACTGACTGTTTTAATATGAAATAGAAACATTTGTGTTATCAATGTCATAGACCTTATAAAATCTCAAATTTTATTTTTTTCATGTGTTTGAGTCTTAGGAGGTAAATTTTACTAAATATTGTAAAGGCAGTGTCAAAATAAGAGGCGGGTCATTTTTAAAAAATTTTTATTTATTTATTTATTTATGTTTGGCTGTGTTGGATCTTCGTTGCTGTGTGCGGGCTTTCTCCAGTTGCAGCGAGCGGGGGCTACTCTCCGTTGCAGTGCTCAGGCTTCTCATTGCGGTGGCTTCTCTTGTTGTGGAGCACTGGCTCTAAGCGCGCGGGCTTCAGAAGTTGTGGTGCGGGGGCTCAGTAGTTGTGGCTCGCAGGCTCTAGAGCGCAGGCTCAGTAGTTGTGGCGCACAGGCTTAGTTGCTCTGCGGCATGTGGGATCTTCCCGGATCAGTGCTCGAACCTGTGTCGCCTGCATTGGCAGGCGGATTCTCAACCACCAGACCACCCCCTGTGCAAACTATTTTAAGAAATAGGTTTTCGGGCAAAATGAAGACAAGAAGAATCTAAGAATGCAAACAACATAAGTAAAAGCACTTAAAAATAAAAGACTATTTTACTGACATTGATGATTAATGTCAGCATGTGGGATCTTCCCAGACCAGGGCTCGAACCCATGCCCCTGCATTGGCAGGCAGATTCTTAACCACTGCGCCACCAGGGAAGTCCTCTAGTTCTTTTGTTTTAGCAATCTCTTCTTGAGCCTGTAGAAGTAGGTCGGGCCAAAGACCATGTTAAGGTTTGTTTGTTTGTTTGTTTGTTTTAAATTTGAAGAGAAGTAGGAAACCAGTGAAGCATGATGGTGGTATTTTAAAATTTTGGAGGGAGCAAGAGGCAGGAAATTAGTTAGGTGAATATTGTTGTAGTCAGATTGAAGATAATGATGGCATGGACTAGCATGGAAAGTTGAGATAGAGAAGAGTTACCAATCTGAGAGATGGAAGTGCTTGGTGGTTGGATGTGGTGAACGCAGGAAGGGAGGGATCAAGGATGACTCCAGAATTTTGGGCAAAGGTTGTCAGGTGATTAGGTGCCATTACTGACTTTTGCTGTTGTTGTTGTTGGTGGGATTGGGTGCAGATCACTAGTCGCTTCTGGAAATGTTGAATTCTAACCACTAAGCAGCTATAGAGAGAGATGTAGAATAAGCAGTTGGGTATTTAGGTGTAGAGTTCTGAAGAGAGGATTGGGTTGAGCCTACTTTGTATCAACCACCATTTCAATGCTAAGGGTGCATCAGTGAACATGGCAGATGAAGCCTCTACTCATGAAGCTAATTCTTATCTGGACAGACAAAATATATACATATATATATATATATATTCAGTATCAGCAGGTAGTAAGTGCTATGAATTAAAGTGGGATTAGGGTATAGCGACAGGACTGCTATTTTAGGTTGATGATCAGGCAAAGATCCTCTCTTAGAGTGAAGTAAGTCAGAAAGAGAAAAACGAATGTACATTAACACATATATGTGGAATCTAGAAAAATGGTGCAGATGAACGTATTGGCAAAGCAGAAATAGAGACACACACGTAGAGAACAAACGTATGGACACCAAGGGGAGAAAGCCGGGGGTGGGATGAATTGGGAGATTGGGGTTGACATATATACACTACTGTGTATAAAATTGATAACTAATGAGAACAGAATGTGTAGCGCAAGGAGCTCTACTCATTGCTCTTTGGTGACCTAAATGGGAAGGAAATCCAAAAAGAAGGGGATATATGTATACATATAGCTGATTCACTTTGCTGTACAGCAGAAACTAACACAACATTGTAAAGCAGCTATACGCCAATAAAAGAAAAAAAAGATATCACATTTGAGCAGATATGTAACATATGACTTGTTGGTTGAAAGTGGGTATGGAGGAGATTGCCTGAGGAAAGTAAACTGAAGATGAGTGGCGAGATAAATTCTAGGACCCTTTTTTATTATATATTAAGGATATACCAATCTGGAATTTACCTTGAACTTTCAGAGCTAGTTCTCTGCCTCTTTGTAGAACAGGGTTTCACTCCAATGGATTGCTTAGGGTTATGGGTTTTTTTTAATTTAAGCCTTTGCTACTAATATTGCTTCCTTGAATATAATTTTTATATAATTAACAACTAAAAGCTGCTGGTGATTTTTAAGTTACGTAGACTTGGCTAAGTCATTTTTAATTGCTGAAAGTAGTAACAGTCATTGGCGGGGCTCCCTAAGTCTTATCACGGCACTCTTAACAGCCATATTCTCACCTTGTACACATTTAAACACTTGAATAAAAGTGACCTGATTGCATTTTGCCCCAAAATTTCTAAGTTCAAAAAGTTAAATAATGCACCTGTGTGGCACAAAAACTGTAGTGTATACTTAAAAATTTAAATGACCATTTTTTTTAGACTAGTGCCTTGTGGAAGCTGTTTTGCAGAGTTATATGCTCGTAGCTTCTTCATTATTGGGGAATGGATTAATGTAAGATTTATTAACTTGTTTGTAGGCCATCAAAATAGGCAGTTTATAGCCATAAGGCACTCTTAATATGATACCTTAAGGTTCTTATAATATACATTTTTTTGTACATCATCCCTATTTCCCTAGGAGGCATCTGGGAATTAAATCAATCAGTTCTTATATTCTTATGATATAAATGATCACTTCTAGAATCTCAAAATTAGGTAGATCTTAAAATACCATATTGTTCAGTCCCCATTGTAGTGTGTGGTATATTACACAAAAGATTCATATTTGCTATCCTTACCATTATCAGATTTGGTGAATTTGTCTTAATGTATTTTTATCTGTTTGATTTTAAAATATTAAAAGTAACAGTAATTGTCATTTCTGGAGTGCTTACTATGTGCCAGCTTCTGATCTCAGCACATTGTATATAGCAGCGTATTTATCCTCACAACAATTCTGTGATAGGTACCGTTATCCTCATTTTATGGATGATGAAACTGAGGTATAGAGAGATTTAAGTAACTAGCCCAAGATATTTTACCATAGATACAGACAGCGCCAGGTTATTAAATCCTTGTTCTCTGGCTCTTATCCAATACTCTGTTCTTAAATAGGACAGGGTCCATTTGCCCTTTAGGAGTCTCTTAACCCACACACTTTGGTATGATTATTAATCCTGTTAATCCAAGTGATTTTTACACTGAAAGAAAAAAAGGGATGACTTTTAGAGCAATTTACTTTTGCCAGTGTTTATATTTCTTTTTATTAAAAATGTTTAAACCTCTTTACTATGAAATTAACAGAAAGCACATAAAATGTACATAAACATTTAGCCTTCTGAATTTTTACCACCACTGAGTTAAAAAAAACAACCTTTTAGCATCCCACAAACCCTTATGTGTCCTTTGCTATATCATTTAAATATGTAAGTATGCAAACGTGAACACTATAGTTTAGTTTTGCTTGGTTTTAAACTTTAAATAAATGGAATCACATGATATGTACTCTTGTGGCTGGCTTCCTTTGTTCACAATTATTTTTTGATTTTTTAATCATCTATTTAACAATAAATCTGGAGTAGGTAGTTCAGAAGTTCATAATGTGAGGGTCTTTGTCAGCCTCTTAACAAACTTTCTGGCTTTCCCTATGTGGTTGCAAAGGGGCTGCCACAGCTCCAGACCTCATGTTTTCACACAACCATAACCCAAGAGAGATAGCAGAGGGCAATTATAGCAGCAAAAAAAAAAGACCCTTTGCCTACCCCTCCCCACTCTTTTTTTTTTAATCAAATTTAATCATCCAGTTAACAATACGGTTAATAGACCCAATGTATTGTACATAAATTATCCAGCTTTGGGAGGATTTAATGAAATGCATGTTAAACCCTTGACCAGAGTCAGGCTTTACAAAGCATGCTCTCCGTAAATATTGGTAACTTAATAAAATAACCATCCCCAAATCCTTTATTTATATTTCTCATTATTTCTTATACTTTTCATCCTTATCTTTAAAGATTTTCTGGCATAATATCTAGTCTCTAGACCTATTTTTATATCTTATATGTATACCTTTAGTTAAGTTCTTTATCTGTCTCAGAAAGTTTACTGGCAGAAGTGTAAAACCCCCAATTTAATGAATACCACCAAGATTGCTATAAGAGAAATTGAGTGTTTTTGCATTATCTTGACCCATCAAAACTGATTTTTCACTTGTCCAGTCATCCACAGGAAAAAAAAAAAAATTGACCACTTCACCTCTTTTGTATATGAGGAAACTGGGTCCCAGGGTGTTTAAAGATGTTGCCAAGGTAACACTAAATCATGACTAGAATACTGATCTATCTCGTGAGCCAAGATTTTCTTTCTTTCATCAATGAGGTCCTATTTGTGGCTGAAGAAATTAAGGGTGCAGGTATTTGCATAGCAGGGCCTGAATTCTGTTGTCCAACACACATGTAAAGTGAAATGCCTGCAGCTGGAGATCTAGAGTGTACCACACAGCTCTTGTATCCTCTCAGTGGCTTTGCTGGCTGTAGAAGCCAGTGCCTTGGCAGTGTTTTGTCTTTGTGCTATTGCACAGTTAAATCCTTCATTTCATTCTCACTAAAGTTCTCTGACATTGCTTGCTCAGTGAAACTATTTAAGAGATCAGAAATCAGTGGAATAGGATTTTGACAGGATAATGGTCTCTCGGGGTATTATAAATTTATAATGCATACTGATTTAATTTTCAAAGCTGGAGGCTAATATCCAGTGGCATGGTTCTGGTCTGGCTACTTTATTGTCAATATACAAAATGATAAAACTACATTAGTGGACGTTTGAACCTACCTTTGGAAGGATACCCTGTAACTACTGCATCATTTATCCATATAAAACAAAACACTCTGATTTTTAAAGTATATAAAGAGATATCTGATATTCCCTCCACAATTTTCTAATATTTTAAACTTAATGTCAAGGCTACAGAAGCCTGATTCCCATGTTTGTGATATAGATACATGTGTCCCTTGTGCTTATAGGAGGGCATGATTTCAGCAGAATGTTTTCATTTGATTATTAAATGGAAGAATGTTAATCAGTGCTTAAGAAATTGAGACAGGCTAGCTTTTGGCAGTTGTGATCTAATATTATGAATATTGATGAGCACTTGTGTTTTGATTAAAATTACTTGGCTTATTAATCTATGTGTTGTATCCTCATATGTCATGGTGCTGATTGTGTTTGTTATATGGGTAGGATATAAGTAACTGTTCTTAGACAGTTTTTTAAAATAAAATAAACTACCTGAAACAAAATACAAACAAAAAATAAAAAGAAAATTTGCTTTTTTCAATGCATAAATAAATATAATTATTCTGATATGTGAGTCAATATTAAAACAAGATTCCAAAATACATCTGCATTAGTAACTCAGAAATGTTTATTTTCTCTATTTAAATATTTTTACTATTTATTTTTATATTTTTAGGTTTGCCATCAGAAAGATAATGCTCTTGGAATTTAGGTGAGTTTAAAGGCTTTATTACTTTGATGAAGTTAAAGATGACAGTGTGACTTAACTTTTAGCTAAGTTTTCTGTACATTTCTGTGAGTGGATAAGAAAATAATTATAAATTTTAAAAGATTTATATTTTTGTGATTGGCTTATTTTGGAATATGTGTATGATAGCCTTTGTTTTCAAAGATGATGTTCCATTATTAGTGTAACTTGTATTTTGAGTTGTTTTTCACTAATTAAGATAGTGTGTGCTGAGCAATTTCTGAACTCTTCTTTGGTTCCTCTAGTGATAATGGGAGTAAATTGGAATGCATTCTGTAGCCATTTTTTCCTTCCAGGCTAACTTGTTATTACTAAGCCAGCATTGTTCTGACCTAAGCCACTGATAAATATTTCAGATGAAGAGAATATATAATTTTTAGGTTACAATTTAGATTATATTACAACCAGGTGTGGCCAGTGGGCTGGAAGTAAAAGCCAAGGTTGCTGTTGATGATAGTAGTATCTGCCATTTATTGAACCTTGTGCTAGGCACATTGTTAAACATTTTACATACAGAGCACTCACAGAAACCCTGCAAAGTCAGTATTCTACTCTCCACTTAGTGAAGGAGGAAACTGAGGTCAGAGCAGTTATTTGTTAAAGATAATGCATTTAAGTAATTGGCAGAGCTGGGATGCCAATGTCTGATGCCAAAGCTCATGGTTTTTCCACTTCTCCACACTTCTTGAGGTCTAGTCTGCATCAGAAGTCAGTCTCTATTAACAACTGTTTCTCCCTACGTACACTGATATGATCCTCACAAAAATGTCATGATGAAGGTGTTCTTATTATTTTTACAGAGAGAAATTGAAGTTTATAGCTATGAATTAACTTGTAAATAGACTCCTGCTATATCCTAAGAACTGTATTGTCACTGAATACTTGATCTCATTTAATCCTCATAATAATCCCAGTAAGAGCTTCCTTATTTTATAGAGAGCACTGAGGCTAGAAATTGGGTCCATCTGGCCCTTAGATTAATATGCCCTTTTCATCATATCATGCCATCTTTCAGAAGGAAAGTAAATAAAAATCAAGAGGATGCTGATATATGATTAGGATAAAGCCAGAATTCTATGGCCCTGGCAAATATCAGATACCAAGAGAATTGCAGGAACTGAAGGAGAAAGCAGCAGAGCATATTGAAGGCATCAGTGACAGTGAAAGATTTTTTTTTTTTTTTTGCGGTACGCGGGCCTCTCACTGTTGTGGCCTCTCCCGTTACGGAGCACAGGCTCCGGACGTGCAGACTCAGCGGCCATGGCTCACGGGCCCAGCCGCTCTGCGGCATGTGGGATCCTCCCGGATCGGGGCACGAACCCATGTCCCCTGCATCGGCAGGTGGACTCCCAACCATTGCGCCACCAGGGAAGCCCAGTGAAAGATTTTTAATGACTGAAAAAGGGGGTTGTTACCTTCCAGGAACTTTTATGTATAATAATTTCTGGGTTAGAATGCCATTTTCTCTGTGCCAGCCTCCAGACATAATGAGTCTCAAGTTTGTAATAGAGATAATTGATGGTCTCTTGCTAGAGTGAAAACTGAGATGGCATGGAGGAGGTGCCTGGGTACAGGAGAGTGAACTGAATCTTTGATGAAATGCGTAAGAGGGACGTGTTATTATATAGATTCCATTTGCTGTGATTGCCAAAATAGAATCAAGGAATTATTGAACAGTCCTTAAGTTTGGATTAAAGAGATGTAGTTTGGAGTCAGTTCTGTATCATGTGTATATCATGGAGATAACTGCATCATCTTGGGCAAATCATTGACTCTAATATTCTAAGATTCATCATCTGAAAAATGTAAAGAATAGGTTTGGAGTTTGCTGTGTAGTCAGATAATACCCAAGACATTACTGTTAAAAACTGTGGCAAGACAATGATATCTGTGGGGCATCTGGCAGGAACAAATATAAAGATACTCTGAAAGGATGTGTATTCCAACTCTACTGCAAAAAAAATCCTACAGCTAAAACCCTGGTAAAGATGAGTTCAAACTCCCAATTACAAAGCACATTAAAGCAAGATTTAGTTGAAACAATAAAGAATAGAATTAGATATCCCCCAGAAAATCCCAGGTAATTATATAATTGATACACACTGTCCAATCATGTTTAAAATTATTATGGGCATAAAAGAACACATAGAATATGTGAACAAGAAACAGGACACTAAAAATGGACAGTTTGGGGGAAAATGAAAATAAAAATCATTGATTAAAAACTCAATGGGCAAATTAAATAGATGAGACACAGCTAAAGAGGGAATTAATGAATGGGGATTTAGAGCTGAGGAAATTAACAAATAATAGCAAAGAGAAATAAAGATGGAAAGTGTACAGGGCAATTAAGAGATCTAGATGCTAGAATGAGAAGATCCATTAGGAGTTTCAGAAGAGATTTAGAAAGAATGAAGGAGTGTCATTTTAGAAGAGATGATGGTTAAGAATTTTCTACAGTTGAAACATATGAGTGTTTTAGATTCAGGAAGTATATATAGCAAATTGTGAACAGAGGAACAGTGACAGGGTAAAGATCTTAAAATCTGCTGGAGAGAAAAAGACAGATTACTCAAAGAGGAAGAAGAACAAATTGATTGTAGACTTCTCAATTGTAATGATAGAGAAGATAGTAGTATGAGACTAGTACATAGAAGAAAAGTAGAACTATCAACTTAGAAAGAATTCTATCACCAGCTAAACTACCATGAAATGAAGAGATTTCAGACAGATTCACGTTAACAGACTTGGTAATGGAAGTTCTAAAGGGCATAATTCAGGAAAAAATTTAAGCTTATAAGAAAGGAATGATATGAAGTTTCATGAATTTTATTTATGAAAGAGTAGTCTGTAACTTGGAGCCTTTTGGCCATTGTTTAGGATAAAATACTATTTACCGGTTTCCTAGGCTCTTGCAAATTAAGCAAGAATGATTGCTAAAGATAGACCCATAGAAATACCAATGTGAGCAGACCTTTGAAGCAGAAGAGAAAGTAGAAAAATTATATGCTATAGCAGAATCTAAAATGCATAACTCTGCGTGTGTGTGCAAGTATGTGCACGTGCACTTGTAACCAATTGAAAAGTAATACGTGTGGAGTGATTTAAAATGGGAACAAAAAGTCCTTCTTTTTTGCATTAGTGCTTGAGAGTATTTTACAACCCCGTACAGTAACTGATGTTTATAATTACTCTGAATAAGAAATGGCTAAGCTTTGTTTTAGAAATCAGAAATACTTACTTCGTTTAGGAATATTTTCACCAAAGTCTTAGAATAAGAATTTTGGCATCTTGAGGGGGAAATGCCAGTTACCTTGAAAACTGACTTATGTTGAATACCTTGTAAATTAAGTAACAAATCCTCTTTTTGATTTGTTAAGTCTCTTAGTTTCCAGAAATCATTTGGTCCTGATGTGAGTTCATGTTAACTTCTCAGATACATTTATCTGTGAAGCTGCCCATCATATCATTCCATTTTAGAGCTGATATTTGCCAAATATTTTTATTTTTTACTCCACGAAATGCCTTAGATAAGGGAATATCCAGTGCTCTAATGGTGATAATTATATATGTCAATAACCTTTGAGGTCTTCCTGCTTTAAAAGTATAAGACTCATTCTCCAAAGCTACATTTGCTACGTATGTTTATAGTAGGTAGCACTGACCTACATTATAGGTAAATTTGTGAAGGATTCTCAAACTATAAATATAGATTTTCAAAAAGTTATAAATAATTAGGCTTTTTCAGGGGAGTGATATATTACAAAGAAGTGGTGGTAACTAATGAAATATTCTATGCCTTTTCATTCTTCCACAGCCAGTATCTTGAAAATTACCTCTGGATGAATTATTCTCCAGAAGTGTCCAGCAAAGCCTATTTAATGTCAATCTGCTGTATGGTGAATGAGAAGTTCAGAGAAAATGTCCCTGCATGGGAGGTAACAGATTTAAATTACTTCATAGCTTTCTTACTGTGCTCACTTAAGCCATTACAAAGTAGCACACTTTTTACCAATAATAAATAATGTTTTTAGAACAAAACTTTATCCAATAATAAATTCAATGTTGAGAAAAAGAATGGATGTATGAAAAATAATATTAGATTTCTTTCGGTTTCAATACTTTCTTTAAACTAATTTACTGTGAATTGAAAGATTATGAATGTGGAGTTATTTTTCTGCTTTGAACTTAAAACAGAGTGGCATGAGTTATAAAGACTTTTACATCAGATAAAGTAAAATTTATATTAGGTAGCACAAACAGATAATGCTTAAATGAGATATTTTTCAGTGCCTTGTTTCACAGCAGGGGGTATATATTTGTAGTTTTATGTGAATAAAGTAGTGTTTCCAAAGTTGAGACAGATATATTGTAATTTCAATTTTCTCTTTGTCTCTGATTTGGGATCTGTTTTCCCTTTTTGACATTTCTAATAGACTGACATTTTCTCTTTGTGCTACTGTAGTATAGGCTTGATCAGCTAGTAGAGGTCCAAAATTTTGGCTTTCTTTGGCCACCATGAAATGGTCAGCTTATCAAAAGTTTCTTCCCCTCCAGTCATACTTTTTTAAATAAGGAAAGGCATGGGTACTTGTCATCTCTTTTGAGGGGATGGTCTCCAAAATGAAAAGGTGTTAACATTCTTTAAGATAAAACCATGGACACTTCACTGAAATATTCATTAAGTGACAACCATCATATGGCAGATTAGAACCCAGAGTAAACTAAGGGCCTTGTGTCTTATTGAGAGATCTTAGGGATTTCTTGAAGTTGCTTCGAACTACCAAAGGAAGGGAGAGGGAAGCCAGAGAATGACTTGATCAGTTTGCAGGTTATAAAAACCACTTTGGTGATTAGAGCTTGAAACAGAGAAAAGACAATACAGATAAAGAGAAGAGGTTACACACAGGTTTGGAAAGTAGAATTGATTAGACTTGATAATTGAAGTAGCTGTAGCTGGGAGAGGTATTATTTCCAATAACCTTCCAGGCTTGGGCAACTGAATGTAAAAGATGAGAGTGCCATTTACCAAGATAGGTAGAAGAGGGTTGAGAAATACTTTGGAGGGTACAAAATTATTGAATTGAGTTTTGGACTTACTGAGTTTAAATTGCTTTTGGAATATCTAGGTGAAATTGTTTAGTAGACAAAGGAATCTCAGGGTCTAGAGAAACCTGGACTGAAAATGTGTATTTAGAATCATTAGCATATGGTAGTTGAATTAATGGGATGGGGAAAAGAAGAATGAGGCTAGAACCCTAGGAACACTGGTCTGTAAAGTGACAAAGGAGGAGGAGCCTTCAGCACATTGAAAAGGGGTTGAGTGTTGGTAAGAGTCCTTTGCACTTGACAGCTGTAACAACTTCAGGGAGTGCTGTGGGTGGAAACCTGTTGTAGGGAAGTAAGTGAAAACAGCTAGTATAGGCCACACATTTGGAGCACATGCCTATGAAAGAAGGGAGAGGTAAGTAACAGAAAGAAACTAGGTGGGGAGGTAGATCACAGAGAGGCTTGAATATATTTACATTATTTACCTTTTTTTTTTAACATATGTTAAGAGTAAAGAGAATATAAAGGAAAGGCTGTCTTTGAGATTAGAGTGGGAAGACTTTAGTTTTTGCTAAAGATGTTGTTTCTTTTGTTTAAATTAGAAGAGTTAAAACACTTTAGATCTTTAATAAGAAAACAAAGCCTAAGCTAATTACCAGCCTAATCCTTGAAGAAAAAATAAAGGAATTGAAGCCATTATTTTATTAGCTGAACGGTTCTGCAACTCTCGCATAGTCCTGCCAGAAACCTATATTTGACTTGCTACCGTTAATAAGAAAGCAAATAATCTTTTTGTAATTATTAGGTATTGTTAATGGACTACTAAAAAGTCCACCAGTGTTTGCTTAAAGGAGAAAAAGAGGTGAGCAAGCCGTTTCAAAATGAATTTTTATTTTTCTTTTCAGACTTTTAAGAAGAAGCCAGATGACTTCCCATTCTTTTTCAAGTGTATCTTGAAAGCAGCATTAGCTGAAACTGATGGTGAATTTTCACTCCATGAACAGACAGTCTTATTGCTTTTTCTTGATCATTGCTTCAATAGTTTGGTAATTTTACTTTATCTTTTGGGGAAGCTCAAGTTTTCTTGTTCTTTTCAGTTGAATGTAGATGAGATTACCTCTGTAGCCAACTCTTCATAGTAGTGGGGAATGAGGATAATGCTAACAGCTTGATTTCAGCCCCTTCTCAGTAAAATCTTTTTATAAGATCTGTTTGCTTTTTAATAGATTTAGACTTGATCACTCCTTTTCTCTATCTAGCCTCTAAGTAAAATGATAATAAGAGCTGAAGTTCTCCAGACGTAGAGCAGCAAAGAGTCTAATATGAACATTGAGTAATGAGATCTGTGTGTGTAAGCTATACACAAAAACATGGTTTTTCATTACTTCTCAGTCATACTTCATGCATAAGCTGGCAGGTCAGCAGGAGAGTTATGTTTTGAGTTGACTGTGTAGGGGTGGTTATGGATGATCTTTGAAAGTCTTTTGGGTTGTGTATGATACTTTTCATTCTTCATAGGATTATCTTCTAAAAAATTAATATTTACCGTAATTACTATTTCACTCGTGCTTCTCTACTGTGGTTATCTGAAGGTATATACCTATTTATTTAAAGATAGGTGCTTCTGAATTGATAGTGCATTTAGACCCATACAAGAGAATGCATGGGTTTTTCTCTTTCCCTGAAAACAGTCTTGGTAGATGGATGATTATTATCTGTTTCCATGTAGTACCTCACATGGATCTTGTAAAGACATAAGAAAAAGATTTATGATACGTCACTATTATCTCTTTAACATTTATTAAATTAAAGAAAGCAAATATAAATAGATGTGATTCCTTGTCAGCAATTGAACAAAACCAAGATTTAATTAGTAGTTTGGTGCTAGGTTTAATTAACTTAAAAGCTAGCTTATTATTGAAATACTTTATTTTTTTCAGCTTACCATCAGTTCTCATTATTTGAGGTAGCTACGCTCTATAAAAAAGCTGTGAACACTGAATTAGCTATAACTGAACCGTTGCTCTTGGGGAAAATACAGGGTTAGGTTCATGCAAGCCTCTGGTCACAACAAACTGATCAGCGTATAACTGTTTTATGTGTTTCTGTTTAAAGTCACCTTATGTAATATATGTTGTTGATTCATTAACATTGAACTCGTGGTCAACAGTGCTGTAACTTAGAACAAACCTTATCTAACACACATATTTCCTCTGTAAGGCACATCACAGCCTTCTAACGCCCAGGAACACTGGACGACACTTCAATCCTGTGCTTGGGGCCATTTTAAATAGCAAAATCACCAACAAAAAAACACAATAATGTGAAAAAGTAGCACTAAATAGACCAAAAAAAGATGCTAGTGTATAATTTGAGAGCTGAAGCAAGAAGGCAGAGCATCACCTTGTCCAGCCTCAGCTGGAAATGTGTGTGTTGGGCAGCTCACATTTTTCTCTGCTCTGCTGACAATGAATGACAGCAAAAGCATCGGGAATATTGAATTGGGGATTACAAATACATTGTTGCAGGTGGATGAATTCACAAATGTGGAATCTACAAATAATGAGGCTTGACTGTATCTTTTTTAAAAAGTATTGAACTTCTTAATAATAAAATATCATTAATTTGAAAGTACTAATGGCATGATTTCCCCCAGGACTTAAAAAGGCAGTACGTGCCTTATGTAAAGACTTAGGTTAAAGTGCTGGTGTGTTTATATACTTGGTTTCTTCATGCTTTAAACAGGAAGTAGACTTGATACGGAGTCAAGTACAGCAGCTTATCTCCCTCCCAATGTGGATGGGCTTACAGCCTGTAAGTATCTAATTTCAGAAACTTACATATATTTATAAGTGGAACATGTGGTTTTAGACTGTGTAGCTTTAATATGGATATAAAATGGTAGCTAAAAGTCCCCTTTCCTGCTTACAAAATTTGTCTAATTTACTATGCATTAACTTATCATAGATGTAGTTTTTTCCATTTTAAAGTTTTTATATGTAAGTTAGCATACGTTTCACCTGATTTCATTATTGTAAGGTGAAATAAGGTAATATCTATTGTGCTCGGAGAGGAGTTAATTTAGTAAAATATTATTACTCGTATATATGTCTTTGGATGAAACTAAATACAGACTTGAATTTTTTATTTTTCTTGATTGGAATGTACATACAGCTATAGGAGAAGATCAGAATTATGTTTAGTATTAGCAACTTCATTTGTCTCATCAAATTCTTGTTGGATAATATGTGCCAGTATCAAATTAACAGATCTTAGGGAATAAAGTTAAAACTATCAAATTTCAGTATAATACTGTATTCAGAATTCCATTTCCTGCTCTTGGGTGGTTTAGTAGATGCCCAGATAAGCAAGCTCATTCATAGGTACCAGTTGATGAAGGTGAAAGCAGGCACGTATAAATAATTAATACTAAGTTAAAAATAGATAAGTGCAGTAAGAAAGAATGTTGTGGTGTGGACATTTCCTTATTGTGATAGCTCTTTTATGTTCATTGTTTCAGACCCTTTTTTTGAACTTTAATGCTCCTAAATGTTAATGCTTATTTTTCAAATTGAAGTCCTTAATTTTAGAAATAAGAAAAAAATGTATTATTGAGCTTAAAATCTTGACTAGAAAAGGCAGTTTCTTTTGTCTTATTTTTTTCTATTAACAAGTGTCAGAATTGAACGGTTCTTTAAAATATAGGTATTTGTTTCTTAGTTTTCAGGTTTTGTCATGTTGCTTTCTGGTTTCATCCCATTGCTCTATATTATATCCATACATTAGAAAACTACCTAATAGTTGGTCTAATCTTTATCCTTGTAAGCTTTGGGGTTACTGATAATTTAATGTCACATCACTCTTTCAGGCACGATTGGAATTAGAATTAAAAAAGACACCTAAACTAAGAAAATTCTGGAACTTGATTAAAAAGAATGATGAAAAGATGGATCCAGAAGCAAGAGAACAGTATGTTGCCAAAGCTTTGTTCCATGTTGGTTTCTTATGCTGGGCTGTGAGTCTTAGACGTTGCTGACTTGACTTGTTGTTTCCTTTACATACTGCTGAACCAAATAAATGATTAAGAAGCACTTAGACTATCATAGGAATATTTTTCTCAAAGGTCCAAGGGAGAAGCCAAAACTTCACCACGTTTTTCTCCTTTCCCTTATCTGTGCTCCAGTCATAAGTGTATCACTGGGTCTTCCCCTTGCCTGTTGTCCATCATAGTCTCTGTCGTGGATGGTTCTCAGTTTTCTTCACAATCTGCAGGCTATCATTCCAACTTATCTTTCTTTTTCTTACTCCTGCACTCTTAACAATGACTAATACACTCCATTTTATACAGTTCATTCATTCCATAAATATTGAGTGTTTATTATTTTGCTGAGTACTGTTATAGGTATAGGGGTTGTGGCAGAGAAGAAAATGGAAAGTAATTCCTGCTCTTGTGGAGCTTACATTCTAGTTGCGGAAGGCAGCAAATAACAGATGAATTATATGGTATATTATATGGTGGTCCACGCTAAGGAGAAGAATAAATCAAGTATACCAATTAAGGAAGCAGATGAGGGTTGCAGGGTATTTTAATAGTAAGTATTACCAATTGGATAAAAGTCTAGTAGCAAGCATTTATTTCAGCAAGCAAAGTGCTGTTAGTAGGACACAGGGGAAGAATCTGTATACTCTAAGAGATTTGTTCCTCTCTCTCTTTGAGGCTAGCTGGTCTAACTCTGCTCTTGCCTTGTTTACTCTCTGACTCTTCCAGCAGTGATCCTTTTTCTTTCTTCATCTTTAAGTGCTCTTTCCACTCACTATTTTTTCCCTCTGCTTATATGCTTAGGACTCGCTCCCCTTGGGCCTATGATAACTTCTTCTGACTCTATTTTTTCCTCCACTTAGGAGAGTAGTCTGTATACACCTGTAGATAGTAACTGAAGTCATGAGTATGAGTGAGATTATGTAGTGAGTATGTAAACTATGAAAAGAGGGTTGAGGACGAAAAGAAGTGAAGCTTGGAGTTATGCTGGTGATTACTGAAAATGAGAAGAACTGAAAAAAGCTGGATATCAGAGAAACAAGTTTGGGAGTAAGGAGGTGAGAGCTATAAGGACAGGATATTAGGGTCAGAATAGGAATATCCTTTCTTTAACTTCGAACTCCAGTCTCATCTCTTCCATGGTATCTTTCTAACCAATAGCCTCTTGATTGGGCTAATTACATGATATCTTTGCATTATTTGACTACTTCTAAAATATTTAAACTCTCTCTTCCCGTTACCTCAATACGATTTAATTCCAAATCGATGGACTATTCATTGTTTTGTAAACATTCCTTCCCTAACTACCCTTTCCACTCTACTCCACTTAATTGAAGGGTAACCTTCTAAATGCTCTTCCACACCAACTACTTTAGGCCACAGTGCTTTCTTCTTCTGAACTCCTAAAACAGACTGTGTTTCTTATTGAAACATCGGGTCTTTTCATAATGATTAGACTATGTATAGTTGTTTAGAGTATAGGTTCTACAATCAGACTTAACTAGGTTTCACACTCACCTGCCGTGTAAATTTGGGCAAGTTACTGTACCTCCTTGAGCCTCAGTGTGAAATCAAGACAATAGTACCTGTTTCGTAGGACTGTCATCAGTATGAGACTATTTTGTATGATGTACTTAACACAGCTCACATCCTGGCACAGTAAGTGCTCAGTTAATGTCAGCCAGTTTTATTAATGCTGGCTTGTGCTCTTAATTATATTTTATGACTTGTCATTTCAAGTATATTTTAGTCATTCTCCTCCTTTTTATTTCCACCAGGACTGGCATAATCAGTTGTAGCCATCCAGTACCTTATGATTGTTTTTTGATTAGTTGGTACATAGTGCATCTTAAATTAGTAATGAGTAAAAAGTTGTTTTTTAAACTAACATTTAATTTTTATACATCGTAATACTCTATTATGTTTAATAGTTTAAACATATTAAAGTATGTAATTGCTTATCTCATTTTAACTACATACTTAAATGTTAGATTTTTTATGATTCAAGAGCAGACTGTAAATGAAATTTTGAAAACTTTCTAGTTCTGACCTTTAAACCACAAGTGAAAACTTTTACAGTAAGAAGATAGAGATGCTTTCTTGGCTGGTTTATTAGGCCAGTAATGAGGCTCTTCTTTCCTTCATGTAGTGCTATATTTACATTCAAAGAAGAAGCTGTGTGTTTAAATTATGGTCCTGATTTCAGAGAGAAATGGAACATTTTGTACAGTGTAAGAAAGGCTGTTCAGCATTTAAATTTTACTTTTGAAATAATTATTTCTCAAAAATAATTTGGTCACTGTTTGTTCTCTCTGATTTTAGAGCCTATCAAGAAAGAAGATTTCTTTCACAGCTCATCCAGAAGTTTATCTCTGTGCTGAAATCAGTTCCACTTTCTGGTAACTATCTTCCTCTTCTCAGCTCATTTGTGAAGTTACCATTTAGATGCCCATATAGTATTTACTAATCTTTAGTCTAAAAACTGCTCTCAGAGTGATTTTAAATTATATTGACAAGGGGTTATGTCCTTCCCTTTTCAAATAAGTTACCAGTCTGAGTATCGTGGCTGCCTTAGAAATTCACGTAATTTAAGGGCACCAGCATGGTTATTAAAATGTTCATTTATTTATTTTTGGAGCTTGCTTATAAGCCACAGGTCCTGAACAAGGTTCTGGGACATGGTGAACGAGACACTCACAGACCCTATCTACTTATTTACAGTTTGCTGAGTAGTGTTTTCAAGCAACATCAAATATTGTTAGGAGGGGAAGAGGAGAATTATTTTGAGATATGAGCTACAAGATGAGATGGGAAGGATTTTCCTCCATCGTGGCCCCCATTTATTGATGAAACAAATATAAATATATGCTATGTAGAGTATAAATTTCAAAATATATCATGATTATACTGTATATAGATAGATGTGTGTGTGTGTGTGTGTGTGTGTGAGTGTGAGTGTGAGACCTATGTACCAGGAAGAGCTAATTACATTATTCTGGGTTCGCAAGATCTTTATAAGCATTTATGTATGATATGTCATTGGTTGTTAATATTTTATTTTCTAACTGGAATATAATCTAAGAACAATGCTGTAGGTGTACCATATTTATATGCACCAGAGATTATAACATATATATGAATCAGATTGTAGCTTTGTTTAAACTGAAATACAACAATTATTTACTTATAAATGTTGCCGCCTCCCCCCCCCCCCCCCCCCCCCCGCCAAGTAATAGTTTACAACCGAAAATCACACCTGTAATTCAGTGATGAGTAGATACTAATGCTATAAATGCTAATTTACGGTACCTGATTTGGGGCATAATATCAGTATTACTACCAGCATCAGTATAAAGAAAAAATTGTCATATGCTTGTAATCTATATCACTTAATATTTGTGTATTTAAATCTTTCAGTTAAGAACCTTAAACCTGGAAAGAGGATGTAGATTTGGTTTCCTTGGCACAAATAGTAATAATGAGAACCAGTAATGTCTGTAACAATTAGGGTCATAAAAATTGATGTCATCTTGGGAATTCCTTAATGGTCCAGTGTGTAGGACTCAGTGCTTTCACTGCTGCGGGCCTGGGTTTGATCCCTGGTCGGGGAGCTAAGATCCCACAAGCCACGCAGCGTGCCCCAAAAAAAAAGTTGATGTCACGTAGAAAGGTTTGAAAGTCAAGTAAATACAACAATATAGGACCTGCAGTAATTTTAACATCCTATAAACTACTAACTGTTGCCATTGTCATAATATATTGTCAGAAAACAAAATTTCTTAGATTGATCTTGAGCTTTAATCAAAATTTGTTAACTTTCTGGCAAAGGAACCAACAAGGTGATGAAAATAGTGTGCCAGTTCAGAGAGGGCATAAAAACAGATAGAATATATAGTTAAACAGAATAAATAAATTCTGTTTATAATAAATAGAACAGAAAACTAATTTATAAAAGAGTAAAAAAGATTGTGTGTAGTTTCATTTTACAGGGTCATTACAGACAACCTGTCCATATCAATTGTTATAAAGGAAATCTGTGTAGGATGGTCTGAGATGTCAGGACTGCTATCAGAAGAAAGGAAAAATACACAATACACATAAAAAGCAAACAATAAGGATATATTGATGTCTGAAACTGAAATAACAGGGCTTCAGCTCTGAAGAATTATGCCTAATAGGGCCAATTAGTGTAAAAATATGCTGTTTTATCCACCAGAACTCAGAAATTGAGTACCAAGCATCACGTTCTAATTTTAAATAGGCCATTGCCGGTAATTTTCTCAAGCAATAAATAAAAATACAAATACAGCTCTTGTTCACTTTTAAAATTTTGGACAAAATTATTTTCCTTTGACAGTAATAAGGAAGAAAAGATACAACAGAGGACCGATTTGAATGGATTTAATTTAAAAGTCGCTCCTTTAAATTCTTTAGTTTTAGTGGCTGTGTGACCTAGACTGTGTCTCAGAAAACCTGGATTCCAGTTCTAACCAGCCATTACTTTGTTCTATACTTTTATCAAGTCATTTTCCTCTGGTCCTCAGTTTCTTACCTGGAAAATGAAGAGCTAGTACAGATGTTCTCTGAGTGTTCTCTGAGGTCTTTTCCAGCTGTGAAATTCTATAGTTATGTTATTTTAGGGTTTGGATTATGGGCATGTGTTAGTTACAAAAGTATTCATATTTCTTTCTTCACATAAAGCCTTCTATTTTCCTGTATGCTACAAGTAAAAGAGTGGATTTATTTAAGCATTTTAGGATGCCTTCTACAGGTCTAGCACTGGTTTATTTGCTGCTGGGAGTCCTTAGCCTAGGGACCCTGAAATTATCTCCTTTTCAATTGAAACAGTCTTGTCAAGTTGGTTTCAGCTGGTAAAATAGCAGAACATTTTCTGACATTAGAAAAAAAAGACATTTGTAATCCAAAAGCATGTCATGTCACAAGGTTGTAATTCTTTTAAAAACAAAAATGTTTTTAAAAATAGTACATTAATGCTCATGAATAACACAAGATAGTGATTTAAAAAATATTTTATTGCTCTATGTGTCATTGACATTTTAATGTCAGTTAATACATGTACAGTGAAAAAAAGTCACAAAAATTGTCCCTTTAATTAGTTTGTTTTGTATCTTCCCCACCCATTTTCTGTGCATTTTAAAGATATATATATATATATATATATATCTTTGTGTGTATACAGCTACACATACGTGTATGTGTTTATGCATATGAAAGAAATTCTAGATGTTTAGTATGTGAAGAAAATAAGGAAAGTAGGTCAAGAACTGAGATAAAACTGCCTTTCTAGTTTTTCTATTCAAGTTTTTTCAACATCTAATCACTTGGTACACATTTTTAAAAATTAACACTTTAAAAATATTTTTGCATGTCTGATTTTTAAAATGTGTCTCTCATCTAAGCTGCATTTTTCATTTTCTCATATTTATAGAGCTTACTGTAAGGGTAAGGCCTGCCCTTTTTGAAATATATGTGAGGTCTGTGCTCTGAACCATAGTTATCCAATCCTGATGAATGAGACAAATAACCTTGTTTAAATAACTAAATAACTGCCAATTTTAAGATATAGTACCATAAAACGCCCTAAGTAAGAAAGTTTTAACATGTTTTCTCTGTTATGTCTAGAACCTGTCACTATGGACAAAGTTCATTATTGTGAAAGATTTATTGAACTTATGATTGATCTAGAGGTAAGAAGTGTGCAGTGACTTCTGTTACATAATCATTAAGGAGGCTAAGATTAAGCCTGTGACTATATATGAAATATTTCTTTATCACCTCAAACTGGCCTTAGTTTGTTTGTACCTATTTCAAAATGTCTTATAGAGAAGAAAGTCAAAAGTGATTGACCCTTGAAGTTTTCAGATGACTGTCAAATGGCTGCATTTGTATAAAAAACATTATTTAGTGTAGTTATTAAACATGAGTCCAGCAATGGCAATTTATTTTGTGTCAAATTTAATACCCCTACATAGAGTTTTAAAAAGGGCTGAAGTTATAGATTTATGGCTTTAATAATCTCACTTTTCTAAATGTGCCTAATATTATTGATGAAGAAAGATACAGCTGCTTGCTATAGTCAATTTTTAAAATTAAGATTTTTAAAAAAGATTTCATGCTACTAGGTGCAAGATTTTGATACAAAGTTCAGATGCAGAGTTGGTATAGTTCAGATTGAATTCATTTCCGTTCCTTTCCTCTCGCTCTTTAATGCAGAAAATTGAAAGAAAATCCTTTCTGTTCATTCCTTATCAGGAGAGCTAGGGTGGTTTTTAGACATGAGGATTAGAGTACTGGACTCGCAGTCATTCATGAGATCCTCATTGAGATTCCAGCTCTGCCAGTAACTATAATCTCTGAGGATCTCGGTAACCTCCCCTTTAACATGAGCGTATTTGACTAGATTAGTGGTTTCCAAACTGTGATTGTCATAGTTTCTCAGTATTGTCTTTCTGACTGTCATAGAATGATATGGGAAGAGGAAACTGAGAAAGGGATCTCCATTTAGGGTTTTCCACTCCCTTTTTCCCATTTTTAAACCTGCACACAATACACATTGGGATTTCATATAGGATTTTGTTTGAAAACTAGTGGCCAGGGTATCTGAGATTTCTTCCAGTGCTGGATTTTATTTAGAAACATTACCACTGAATTTATTTACAGCATGGACCAGACGCTTTGCTTTGTGTGGAGTGTCTTTTGGGGGGCTGAGGGTACTTTGTATGTGATTAACACTTCTGCACTATGTATCAGTAGACTTCACTTGTAGCTGGGAGAGCATGCAGACTTATTGCTGTGGTGATTATTTTCTCTAGGCCCTACTCCCCACAAGACGCTGGTTTAATACCATCCTGGATGACTCTCACCTTTTGGTTCACTGTTACCTTTCCAATCTTGTTCGTAGAGAAGAGGATGGCCATCTTTTTTCCCAGGTGAGCACTGGTGGATCTGAACATATTTATTGTTTTCATTTCTAAGTCAATCTTTTCTTTCTTTGCCGTGCACCTGGGAGTACTGGGGCATGGTGCAACATATATTTTGCTAAATACCGAATTGAATGATGTAAATTCCTCATTAGTCATTTTAAAGTAAAACCAGGGCTTTCCTGGTGGTGCAGTGGTTGAGAGTCCGCCTGCCGATGCAGAGGACACGGGTTTGTGCCCCGGTCCGGGAAGATCCCACATGCCGCGGAGCGGCTGGGCCCATAAGCCATGGCCGCTGAGCCTGCGCATCCGGGGCCTGTGCTCTGCAACAGGAGAGGCCACAACAGTGAGAGGCCCGCGTACCGCCGAAAAAAAAAAAAAAGTAAAACCAAGTCTTAATATACAAAACGGTTGCCTTCTTGTATAGGTGGCCTATACTAATTTTATATTATAACCTTTTTTTCTCTTCTGAATATTCATTTTATTAATGTAAACAGTAAAACACTTAAGCATTTTAAATTTGAGGGGATTAGGTAATTCAGATAAACGTTTTGTTAATCATATGTGATTTTATTATTGGACTAAATTATGTGTGATGTAGTCCCACATACTCATATATATTTTGATTCTATGCCAGTAAGCACTGTGGACTATAATAGATGATAAGCATTACTTTCGAGTGAACTGTGCCCTAATATCGTGGCTCTCTTTGCATAAGACGAGGGTGACAGAGGCAGTTGATAGTGTGGAAGTACATATACACTTAGACTGCTGCCTTGAGCTGGAAGGCAAGTGAACTTTGTTTACTGCCTTGGGTAGGAAGACACACTATTAAGGTTTCCCATTTCCTGTAATGTCATCCAGAAAAAAAGTCTTCTATCAAACTTCTAACACTCGCCTTACAGATCACAGCTGGAGATAAAATTTTCGTGTGTGTATTTGCACACTGTCCTAAGAATTCTTTTATCTTGTATCTGTGAGCATTCCTTTTTTTCCTATTCTCTTATTAATTTTACCCAGTGATTTGTTTCATATATTAAAATACATTAAAATCCTAATATCTGGGGGGGGATAAATTGGGAGATTGGGATTGACACATAGACACTACTATATATAAAATAGATAACTAATAAGAACCTACTATATAGCACAGGGAACTCTACTCAATGCTCTGTAATGGCCTGTATGGGAAAAGAATCTAAAAAACAGTATATATACGTATACGTATAACTGATTCACTTTGCTGTACAGCAGAAACTAGCACAACATTGTAAATCAACTATACACCAATAAAAATTAATTTAAAAAATCGTAATATCTGATCTGCCATAGATTAGAATTAAGAATAATAAAGATTTGGGGCGAATGGAGCCCCAAATTCTGTTGATTCTGTTGATACTGCCAGCACAGGGGGAAAGCAGGCCTTCTTAAAGCACCAGGAACTAAGCCAAAGAAAGCTTGATGGTTATGGAGACGGAAGAGAGGAATGAATAGCTTAGCTTTTCCCACCTTGCTGTTTTTTCTAATAGAAGTATAGAGAAGAGTATCTCTAATTGTGAATTGCAAAACCCTCATCAGAAAATTTTAAGTGGCATAAGACCTCAGGAGTTCCCTCTAATGGTATAGTTCTACATAGATAGATTTTTTTTTCCATTAAAATATTGACTTTCTTTGATTAGTTCCTTAATGTCTCTTTAGTATTGGGATTGCAGTTGAAGTTCTTTCCTGTAGAAGTAGACCATGTGTATGAAATAGACGTAACAGTTTGTTCACAAGGCATATACTTTATGCTCACATAAATAAAACACATTTGTATATGTGCTGAAATGTTGGTTGCAGTGTTTACATTCCAAAGCTTTTCAGTACCTCTAAGAAGGTATGTGGATTTTATTATTTTTAATACTGTCGTATTTTTGCTTTCTTGGTCTCATGTTTACACAGTTTATTAATTTAAATGTATCCTTTCAGCTTTTGGACATGCTTAAGTTCTATACTGGTTTTGAGATTAATGATCAGACTGGAAATGCTCTGACAGAGAATGAGATGACTACGATTCACTATGATAGAATTACTTCTCTACAGGTAATTGAAATGCATTATAGCCTTTGCGTCTGCTCCATGAAGTTGAGTCATAAATAATTTAGGTTTTATGTAGTACAGATAGGAAAGGTACTAATTTAATAGTGTGTTCATCTTGAATTTTTAAAATATTGCTAATTCTGATGGATTCATGAAAAAGAATGCTTTCTTTTATAGTTCTCAATCTTGAGACTCAGTATATTGATATTTGACACTCAAAAAATATTAGTTACTGGGCCAGTTTAGTGTGTTTAAGTATCAGTTTTATTTTATGAAAGGGTATTTCAACTTGACAAAGTATGTGTAAGTGCTTTGTACGTTTTAAAGATAAACACATGTAATGGGACTGAAATTTACCAATGCAGCTCAGATGTGCCCCAAAAGTACCTTTGTTACTATTACTGAGCACATTTTGCTCTTGAACTCAGTTTTGTCTGGTGGCAGCTTTTATTTCTCAATTTAAAGTAATTCAGTTCTTTACATTTTAAAGAGTCTTTTTTTGGGTGAAGGCTCAGCCAAACTTAAGTTCAAATTGTCTTTCATATTCAGCTCAGACATGTTTTCCTGCTTTTCTCAGAACATTAGTGTTTTTGTCCTTCTGCCTCTGCCCTTGAAGTGACCACAGTGGGTGTGGTGTGTGGCTGTTCTCTTGGCCACCAGCAAGGCACAATGACTGCGCCCTTGGAGCTTGGTTGTCAGCCTACTGACAAGGCCCCAGCCCTTGTTCTTTTTTTTTTTTTTTTTTGCGGTACGCGGGCCTCTCACCGTTGTGGCCTCTGCCATTGTGCAGGCTCAGCGGCCATGGCTCACGGGCCCAGCCGCTCTGCGGCATGTGGGATCTTCCAAGACCGGGGCACGAACCCGTGTCCCCTGCATCGGCAGACGGACTCTCAACCGCTGCGCCACCAGGGAAGCCCCCCAGCCCTTGTTCTTGATGGTGCTGGAGTCCTCCTGGGAGCTGACTCGCCTTCATTTCCTAGCTCAGGCAGCTCACTTTCAGGCTTGGTTTCATTTTGCCATTGCCTGTAGTTGTTTCATGGCAGACTCATCGATAACCTTTGCAACCTTCTGTGTCATCCAGTACAGAGCACATGAAAACTTGTGGATCTTCCCAGTGCCACATGAGCATTATGGAGGACTAAGAATGTTATTTCACACACACTTAATCAAATCAGCATGATGCTGCTCTTTCTGTTTCCTTGCAGCTTACCCCACGTAGGTTGGAGGTGTTACCCTGCGAGGTTCTCTCTTTCCAGAGTTCCAAAGTAAAGCAGGGCACAAGCACACTGTTGCTGTAGGCCTCTCCCTTGAGATACATCTTCATTGGGACTTGCCCTTGAGACTTTCTTATGGTTTTGTTAGGCCAATTCTTGATCATAAAGTGTTTTGTTTTGTTCTTTCTCTTCTCCTGTCAGTGAAGCTGGCCTTCCTGGCTATTTTCCTTTATATTCAAAATACAGTTTTAGAAATCAGAAACTGAACATTGATTCTTTGTACTCTCCGGCTAGAACAATTCTGGTTTTTTTCCCCATTGTATCTAATGCTTTTGAATAAGGCAGAGGTCACATATGAGAAGCATATAAGAAAGAGAATTGCATTAATTAAAAAAAATTTTTTTTCCATTATGCAGTATATAAGTTGTAATTTATTAATATGTAGGCATTAATTAATTAATTAATTCTGTTCTTTTCTAGAGAGCTGCTTTTGCACATTTCCCTGAACTCTATGATTTTGCCCTCTCAAATGTTGCAGAAGTAGATACTCGGGAATCCTTGATCAAGTTTTTTGGACCCCTTAGGTAAGGCAATATGAAAGGACAACTGAATTTTAATTTTCTTTTTTGGTTTTAGTTATTTTTGCACTACTTTAGGTGATGTTACTTGTTGCACTACTGTTTATTGACAACTAGAACTAGTGCTTCTCTCTAGCATTTGTTATCTTTGAGTCACTTAAATATAATTATACATCTTCTCTTTATTTTGGTAAAATTTTTATTTTTCGTAACTTATATATTTTTCCTAGATCTCAAATTTTTTTAGAGTAGAATATAAGCTGGTATCCCATCAGTCGTAAACAACATACAACAGAAACCAGTAAATGTTCATCCTATGTGATATTAGAGGTTAGGCATAAGTAAAATTTTGCATGTTTAAAATTTATTAAATTGTAATGTTCTCTGGCATCTCTGTTAAGTATACTTTTTTGAAAATAGCAATAATAGCATACATTTATTTACTTTGTGATAGGTACTCTACTAGTATATAAATAAGTTAATTCTCAAAATATTCATGTGAGAGGAGTAGGTACCATTTTACATATAAGGTAGCCGAGGCACAGAAGAGTTGAGTACTTTGCCTAAGTCACACAGCAAGTAAGTGTCAAAGATAGGATTTTTTTTTAATATAAATTTATTTTATTTTATCTTTGGCTTCGTTGGGTCTTCGTTGCTGCACGCGGGCTTTCTCTAGTTGCTTCGAGTGAGGGCTACTCTTCATCGCAGTGCACAGGCTTCTCATTGCGGTGGCTTCTCGTCACGGAGCATGGGCTCTAGACACACGGGCTTCAGTAGTTGTGCCACACGGACTCAGTAGTTGTGGCTCATGGACCCTAGAGCGCAGGCTCAGTAGTTGTGGTGCCTGGACTTAGTTGCTCCGCGGCATGTGGGATCTTCCTGGACCAGGGCTGGAACCCGTGTCCCCTGCATTGGCAGGCGGGTTCTTAAGCACTGTGCCAACAGGGAAGCCCCAAAGATAGGATTTGAACCTAGGTAGTCTGACTTCTGAGCTCTAATTATTTTTTTTGAGGTATAATTGACATAAAACATTATATTAGTCTCAGGTGTATAACACAATGATTTAATATTTGTATTTATTGTGAAATTGATCACCACGAGTCTAGGTAGCATTTATCTCCATATATATAGAACTTTTTGGTCTTGTGGTGAGAACATCTAAGATCTACTTTCTTTGCAACTTGCAAATATGCAGTACACTATTACTAATTATAGTCACCATGCTATACAATTACATACCCATGACTTATTTATTTTACAACTGGAAGTTTGTACATTTTGATCTCCTTTACCGTTTCACCCACCTTTGCCTCGGGCAACCACCAATCTGTTCCCTGTTTCTGTAAGCTTGGTTTTTTTTTGGGGGGGAAGGGTTGTTTTAAAATTCCACATATAAGTGACTCATTAAATTCCACATATAAGTGACCCATACAGTATTTGTCTTTCTCTTTCTGACTTATTTCAGTTAGCATAATGGCCTTAGGGTCCATCCATGTTGTTGCAAATGGCAAGATTTCATTCTTTTTTATTCTGAGCCCTAACTTTTGACCACTGTGCTCTGTTATCTCCTCATTTTCCTTAACTCTGGGGAGAATTTATGTGTAGTTAATTGGCTATTTAAACTGAAGCAAACTGAGATTGGTCTGGTCATTCATTTTCATATGAGGATATGTAATAACTTACAGTAACACACATGTCTACTTCCTTCTTTTAAATAATGGCATTGAGTTCTGTTGAACAGGTCTACCATACTTTTTTTTTTTTTTTTTTTGCGGTACGCAGGCCTCTCACCATCGTGGCCTCTCCCGTTGCGGAGCACAGGCTCCTGACGCGCAGGCTCAGCGGCCATGGCTCACGGGCCCAGCCGCTCCGCGGCATGTGGGATCTTCCAAGACAGGGCACGAACCCGTGTCCCCTGCATCAGCAGGCGGACTCTCAACCACTGCGCCACCAGGGAAGCCCTACCATACTATTTTTTAATCACTCACCTATTGACGGATCTTTAATTTAAAATTTTTTGACTATAACAAACAATTAGGCAATGAACATTCTTTTTACTTCTATTTTTTAAATTTTAGTACTGATTCCCAGAAGCAGAATGGCTGACTCAAAGGGATTATGTGTTTAAATTTTGTTAAATATTGCTAAATTATCTTCCCAAAAAATGCCAATTATACACTTACATCAATAGTGTTTGAAGATTTATTTCTTTCCCTTCCAACACTAGGTAAATTAGTTTTTCATTTTTGCCAATCCAAGGACAAAAAGATTCTCATTGTTTTACTTGCATTCTGTGATTGTATGTTACTTTCTGATTGTTATCCTTTGCTATTTTGTATTCCATTGTTTGTCATTTTATTGATTTTTTTAAATAAGGAACATTTATATTATATATCCAGGAACCTGGATATTATTATTTTGTCTAGTTCTGTTGCAATTATTTTGTCTCAGTTTCTCCCTTTTAAACTTTGTTTATGGTATATTTTGTTATTACAGATGTTTTAAATTTTTAATCACATCTTTCAGTCTTCTTTTTAATAACAATAACAAATGTTTTATTTTATTTATTTATTTAATTAATTTATTTATTTTGTGGTACGCGGGCCTCTCACTGTTGTGGCCTCTCCCGCTGCGGAGCACAGGCTCCGGACGTGCAGGCTCAGCGGCCATGGCTCACGGGCCCAGCCGCTCCGCGGCATGTGGGATCTTCCCGATTTGGGGCACGAACCTGTGTCCCCTGCATCGGCAGGCAGACTCTCAACCACTGCACCACCAGGGAAGCCCACAAATGTTTTATTTAGAAGGCCTTCTTCACCAAAAGATTACAAAAAATATTATATTTTTTAAGCACTTTTGTAGATTTTTTTTCTTACATTTAATAGCTGTATAGTCTGTCCAGGGAATTTATTTTTGTCCATAGAGCTCCTTTATACTCTTACAAATCATTGAGGATCACAAAGAACTTTTTTAATGTGGATTATAGCCATTATATTTACTACATTAGAAATTAAAAGTAGAGGAATTTTAAATATTTAATTTATTTTAAAAATCAAGTAAAATCCATTGTATATTTCATACATATTGTTAATGAAAAATATATACTCCATAATGAAAAAAAGAATACATAGTGAGAAGAGTAGCATTGTTTTACAGTTTTGCGTATCTTTTTAATGTCTGGCTTAATGAAAGACAGTTGGATTTGCAGATCTGTTGTTGGTTTCAGTTTGTTTTAAGATGTTATTTTGCCTGAAGTAAATGAAGATAATCCACTCTTACACAGAGGGAAGTTTATTTTAAAAGCTTTTTCATATTTAGGAATATTATTCTTTGATACATATCAAAACTTGACAGTTGATAGATTTCTTGAAAGTTTCGTTGTGGTATCTGAAACCATGTTAAGGAAGTCTGTGCAATTAAAGTGAATTGATTTTAAAAATGGAGAGATACACCTTGTTCATGGATGAGAGGACTCAGTTAAGGTGTGGATTCTGCCCAATTTGATCTATAGATATAATTCAGTTCCAGTCAGAGTCCCAGCAGGATATTTGATAGAAACTGGCAAGCTTATTCTAAAACTCATATGGAAAGGCAAAGGAATTAGAATAGTCAAGACCATTTTGAAAAAGAACAAAATTGGAGAATTTCCACTACCTAATTTCAAGACTTACTCTAAAGTTAAAGTAATCAAGACATTGTGGTATTGAAAACAGTGTATACATTATAGATCACTGGAACAGGGTCAAGTTCAGAAATAGACCACACGTATACAGTTAGTTGGGTTTTGACTAAGGTGCCAAGGCATCTCAGTGGAAAAGAGATAATTTCAGCAGTGGTACTGGACAGCCATATGCAAAGTATGAAACTTGACCCATTCCTCACATCTGATACAAAAATTAACTCAAAATGAATCGTAGACCTAAATATCAAAATTAAAACGTAGGAAATATAGGAGAAAATCTCTGTGATTGTGCTTTCTGCAAAGATTTCTGTAGACACCAGGGCACCGTCTTTAAAGGAAACAACTGATAAATTGAACTTCTTCAAAATTAAAAATTTCTATTTGAAAGACATTGTTAAGAGAATGAAAGACAAGCCGAAAACTGGGAGAAAATATTGGCTAAATACATATCTGATGATGGACTGGTATCTGGAAGTCTCAGAACTCAATTATAAGAAGACATCTTAATAAAAAAATGGCTATAGATTTGAACAGATACTTCACCAAAGAAGATATATAGATTTCAATAAGCCTATAGAAAGATGCCTAACATCATTAGTCATTAGGAAAAGCAAATTTAAATCATAATGAGATATCATTATGTACCTATTAGAATTATTTATAAAAACAACGGTGTATTAACTCTTGACCGGTATGTGGAGCAACTGGAATTCTCATACATTGCTGATGAGAATTCACAATGGTAGTGCCACTTTGGAAAAATTTGATAGTTTCTTGCAGAAACATGTGCTTACCGTGTGATCTAGTGTTCTCACAGACATACCCAAGAGAAATGGAAACTTACATTCATAGAAAAATCTGTACAGAAATATATATAGTGGCTTTATTTATAGTTGTCAAAAACTGGAATATATAAATATGCTTCAACTGTTGAGTAAATAAACACATTGTGAAATATCCATATAATGGAATATTACTCAGCAATAAAAAGGAACCAACTACAGATACACACAACAGTGTGGGTGAATCTCAAATGTATTATGCTGAGTGAAAGCAGCTAGCATCAAAAGGCTACATAATGTATGATTCCATTTCTTTGACGTTCTGGAAAAAGCAAATTTATAGAGATTGAAAACACATTAGTGGTTACCAGGGACAGGGATAGAGAGTTTGAGGGGCTTTGGGGGGTAATGAAACTGTATTTGAGTGGTTGAAAGCTGTCAGGTAAGTAGTGGCAAATGCAAGTTTTTCAAAATTTCAGTTTTTCACTCTGAAATTCAAATTTTATCTTTGGCAACATATACTGTCAATTATTTTCCTTGAAGTTAGGTTTATTTTGTTCAGATTTTTTGCTGTTATTCAACTCTGAATAACTAGTTTGTCAGTCGTTCTGACAAACATTCTTTTTACACAAGTAAAAATTGTGTGCAAAATGTGTACTTCCCACTCTGACACACAGATTTTTTAAAAAACAGATACTCAAGTCCAAATTTAATAACCTTAATAATTTTTTACTCTTTCATCAAGGACATTTTTAAACAAAACTGGTGGGGGTTTGTTTGTTTGTTTTAATAACTGTGTCACAGTGAGGAATGCTGTGACCACTTATTGTACTGGTTGGTGACACTGCCTTGATCCATGCCACCAGTTTTACCCATTATCGCACTGTCCCTGTATATGTAAAGACAGTGAGAAAAAAACTTAGTAATGTCTTGGTATTAATATGAAAAAGTATTGTCCTTGTAGCTTCCCTGAAACAATCTTGGGGACCATGAGAAGTTTGCAGAAGACAATTTGAGAATTCTGTATTAGGGGTTTAACTCTTTGCTGATTTCATATATTTGTTGCTTGTGTCATAGGATTATATTTTCTACGTAAAAATTTTTAAGCCATCTGTAAAATTATGTTTCAAAAATGAATTAAATTGTAATAAAATATTCTGATCTGAATATTCTTTATTCTGCAGTTCAAATACACTCCACCAGGTGGCATCATACCTCTGCTTGTTACCAACTCTTCCTAAAGGTGAAGACACGACTTTTGATAAAGAATTTCTTCTAGAATTGTTGGTAAATATTAATGTTCTTTGAATTTTGCATGTGGTTTTCCCTACTTTTTTGAATCATTCTTAAAGATGTAGGTTGGTACAGATTTTTTTCTGGGCTAAAAAATTGGTAGGTAATGCCTGCTTGTTTGGGAACTATATCATCATTTGATTTTGTCAGATTTCTTTTTCATCTCTTAGATTTCTTTTTTCAAGTCTCTTACCTCTTAAAACTGCTTTATAGCATGGATTTGTTCCATCAGATATTTACGAGCAACATCTGTGTCAGGCACTGGATTCAAGCACTGGGGATACAGAGATGGCCGACACTGTTCCTGCCTTTAAGAGATCACAGTTATACTTACACACACACATACACACACACACACACACACACACACACAGATATCTATCTATTTATCTGTTTATTTTTAAGTTATTATTTAAATATAGTACCTTGAATATTAAGCCATACCTTTATCACTAGAGAGCTCAGGAATGTTTAAAAATAGAAAAAGTTATTACCGACTTAGTGATTTAAGAATTCTAAGGGATTTCTCAAGCATTTTGGGAAATGAGTATTAGTTTGAGCATCAGCTCTTAAACTAATACTTTTTTGTGTGAGGTTTTATTTTTTTTAGTACAGTTTCAGGTTCATAGCAAAACTGAAGGGAAGGGATATACTTTATTTTTTAAACTTCCGTGAGATATTTCATAAAGTGGATGAGTATTTAACCATACGCCCCTATGAATATCTAGGTTGTTTGCATGCTCACTAGTACAAATAATGATGCAGTCTTAATATATGCCTCTTTGTGCCCATATGTGGACATTTAGGAGAGGTACCCAGAAGTGAAATTATTTGATGTGCTTATTTAAAAGATAAAAGATGCAGCCAAACTGTCCTCCAAAAGCTGTATGTTCCCATCAACAGTGTACTAAAGTATGTCTCCTTAAGCTTTTTTCGGCATTGGATGCTGAGTCGCCTCAATTTTGCCAGTCTCATGGGTTAACAAAAAAAACTTGTTTTAATTTTTTGTTTGCTGACTGCTATAAGGTTGAGTTGTCTTTTATACGTTTCAGACATTTTTTATACCTATACAATGTACACTGCATGGATTTGTAAATACATTTTTTTACACATATGGAACAATAATGGGCACGTGTTTTTGTAACATATTTCAAGCTAATACTTCTAATACAGGGTATAAAATACAGTTCCTTACTGTAGAGAGGAAGATAATATGCTTATTTTGGGGTAGTAACAGGAAACTATTTGTAGCAGGTGTTTTAAGCCTGGTGACAGGTGTTTAAGTGCCATTTGGAGAGAAATCCTTGGGAAGCATTTTAAATTAACTCAAGTATAGAAAATACTTTTTTATCGATATATTTACTTGCATGAAATGTATGTCTTGGGTCACTATCTTCCCCTTCCTTCTTACAAATCACTTTTTGTTGTCTCTGACTACAAGTGCTTTCTAAAAATTCCTTGTCCTGTTTTCTGATAATGTAAAATCTTCTCTGGTAAGTCAGGTTTTGGAGATTAATAATAAATCCTTACTATAGAAAGAAATGGGGACTTTTCCAGGAACTTTCTAATGGAAAATAGGTTTGAGTATAAAGTTGATCCTATCTATGCTTTTTAGGGTCTTATAGCTAAGATTTCATCCTTAAAATTTAAATAGTTACGTGAAAAGAAAACAGTTTTAAAAATTTATAGTGCTACAGCATTATCTTTCATTTCCTCCCCCTCTTAAAGGAGTTTTTCAGGCTTTGGAATCTTCTAATATCCAACCAAATATGATTTAAAAATTCAACTGCATATTGTTTAGACGATATCACACTGTCTTCTTTCCTAAAACAATACTATCTCTACTGAAAAGAATGTGACACATTTTTCAAATATATCATTATTTTGGCATCTCTTAATTAGGTAACAAACTTATTTCCGTATTTGAGGTAGATCACTGTAGTATTAACAATGGAGGGGTACATAGAGAACATCAAGTACAACTCTCTCGTTTTACAAAGAAGACTGAGGCCAAGTTATTAGTAAACTTATCCAGATTATTTAGCTAGTTAGTACAAGAATGAAAACTGTAACCTAGGACTTAGGGCTCCCATTTTTTTTTCTTACATTGGTGAATGCTGTGTTGCTGTGGGTTTTAAGGTCTTGGCATGTGCCAGACACTTTGACATTATTTTACAATATTCCACTTCATTTTCATAAGAAACCTAAGAAGGGAGTGACATTTTAATCTGCTTTACTGAAAAGGAAACTAAAATCAGGGAGTTTGAAGTAACTTGCCCAGCTTTCACATAGCCCATAAATTGAGGTGCTAGGTGTTGAACTCAGATCTGGCTGATTCCGAAGTCCATCACAATCAGTACCTCTTTCTTCTTTGATTTGTGGAGAACATGAAAAAAGGAAAAAAAAATCTCTTGTTAAGTGCTACAATAACTCAAAAGACATGAAACTTCTCATTCCATACTTTGTGTTGAATTTCTCCATAAATTATTTTGATTGAAAAAAGATACTTCTGACTTTCTTTCTAAACCTGTTTCCTTTAGGTATCTCGTCATGAGCGTCGAATTTCTCAGATTCAGCAGTTGAATCAGATGCCTTTGTATCCAACCGAGAAAATCATATGGGATGAAAATATTGTCCCAACTGAGTACTATTCTGGGGAAGGTATGGTAACGAAGTACAGTATTCAGATGTAACATGAAACTTAGTTTAGAATTCATCATATATAACTGAACATACTCCTATCTGCTATATACATTAGGGTAATTTTCTGGTACCCTCAAGTTCAACTTTAGAAGCTAGAAACTATTCAGTGTTGTGAATGCTTAACATTAAGGATTTTTATTAAATTTAAGCATTGCCTAATGAAATGTGTGTTTGTGTGTGTGTGTGTATCATCCTGTATAAAATGTGCCCGTAAAGCTGTGTGTTCAGGAGACCTAATAATACAAGAAGTGTAGCTTTCATTATGTCACTGTAGCAGGCTTTATTTGGTAGTGTTTTATTTTTCAAAGCCTTCTCTAGAGGCTCTTTTGAATTCCTTGTAGAGCCAGCTAATGACCTTCAAAAGAAAGACATTGTCATTAGTTAAGATAAACCCTTAGTTTTGATCCAGAGTAGTATTGCCTAGTATGTTCATCTACCTCTTTCAACAGATTTGTTTCTAAATGCTTATCCTCTAATGATGAGAATTTGCCACAATTGAGTATATGCCAAAGTGCATTCTGACACATTTTGAAGGCATATTTCAAAAAAAAATTTCTGGAAGTTTTTTGAACAGCAGTGTCATGATTAGTAGAGATGTGGCTATTTTAAAGAGATCACCAATATAGGTATTGGTATATTTATTTAAAAGAAAATTGTCTCTTCAGAGTCATATCCTAGAGCCATAATTCCAATAAACCCAGTGCACTAAAATTGTACTAGATTTCAGAATAATCAGTCTTCATATCTTTTTATATTCTGACAGTGATTAATGCATTGCTTTCTCACTTTTCTAATTTGTTCACACTAAAAGCATTTGTGATCATATATGTATGAATAACACTTAAGAATATTTTGTCTTTTCAATGAAAAGTTTGTGTCCTTGAAAATGTAAACAGTCTTATATCTAGCTTTTGGTACTATTCAGTGATGTTGGTCTGAGTTTAAAACATATTTTGCTTAGTATAAAGTGTTGCTTTTCTTTCGCTCCTGTGATTAATGAAGTTAAGTAAAAAGAATTACTTCTCAAAATTTGTCTTTGTACCTGTCTTGCCATGGTTCTTCACTGACCATGGGTGAAACTGTGCTTGTGGGGCTCTGTATTCAATGCTGTGAGATAGGCAAAGATCAAAGCCAATCCAGCACAATTATGCAAGCTGCTTCCAGCTCCCAAGGAGAGAAAATAAGTGTGAAATTGGGGCAGATATTTAAAAAATATAGTATAAGAATTGTAAAGAAAGTCTTTGTAAAGTGTTGCCTTTTTAAAACCTTTTTATTGTAAAATAAACACAAATATAGAAAGCCCACACAAAATAAAGATAGAGCTTTACTAATTATCTTAAGGGAAATACCCTAAAACTCTTATAATCACCTTGTCAGCTATCCCAGAATCCTCCTGTGTACCCCTTCCTACTTACTGCTTTCTCCCTCCACTGCAAAGTAACCATTTCTTGACTTTTATAGCAATCACTGTCTCACTATTTCTTCATAGTTTTATTACTCAGTTGTGCATCCCTAGACACCGTAGTCAGTCCTGTACATATTAAGATGCTTTTTATTTTACGGGTACCAACTGTAGCCCTTTCTTTTCTGTCTGTTGAAGACCCTGAGTTGTTTGATCTGTATAGTTTTCCACAGTCTAGATTTTTCTAATTGACTACTCACAGTACAGTTCAACATGTCCCTCTGCTCTTTATTTATTTTTTCTACAAATTGGCTTGATCAGGCAGAGGAATTCTCTCTTTGGCAAGATCCTTGGTGGTGGTGTATTCTTTCATCAAGAGGCACGTGATGTCTGGTTGTCTCTGTTTTTGTGATATTGCTGTTTAATACCTAGATTTGTTAATTCAGGGAGGGTTACAAAATAGTGATATGTTAATTTTTTTTTTTTTAATATAAGTATGCCATCAAAAGAGATGCTTTCAGCTTCTGGCTTGAAAGAAATTGAATTAGATTATAAGTCAGAGTTTACTAACAAATGATGTGAAATTTTTGTACATTGATGTTTCTTGCTTTTAGGTGCATTGTTTCTTTGGTGAGTGTGGATAGGGATGATGAAAATAATATGATTTGCTAGTAAAATGTGTTTGGGGGTTCTTTTTTTTTAAGATTTTTTTTGATGTGGACCATTTTTAAAGTCTTTATTGAATTTGTTACAATATTGCTTCTGTTTTATGTTTTGGTTCTTTGGCTGCGAGGCATGTGGGATCTTAGCTACCCGGTCAGGTATCAAACCCGCACCCCCTGCACTGGAAGGCGAAGTCTTAACCACTGGACCACCAGGGAAGTCCCTGGGGTTCTTCTTTTTTGACCTTTTTGATATTGGTGCTGAGTGCTTGGTTACTTATTATCCCAGGGAAATAGTGTTAGGTGAAGGTAATGGAAAGAATATGGTTCATTAATGTTGTCAGAGAAGGGAAATAACTCCAGGAATAACATACAATCAATGCCTTATCCTTAAAGGCTAGCAAAACGGCAAAGGTTCAGAGCACCATAGTGATCACTGAAGATAGAGTTGTGTAATGTAATATACTAATTCAGTTTTCTTGGTAAATTTGGTCATGGGCTATGTTTATAGTAGCATTATTTACTTTGAGATTTGCCAAATACAAATTAGGTGGTAAAGAAAGAATTTTTAAACTACTTGTTTAGTTTTAAGTATCTTTAAATACTTTTTAGAAGCACTGTTTGCATATGAGTCATTGATGTGCAGATTACATGTATTAATGAAATTCATCCTTTATTCCCAGTCTTAATAGATGGCATTTGTTAACTTGGTTTCAGTTTCTGTGTGGAAATGAGAATACGACCTTATCAAATATGCTGTATTTTAGACACCATTAAACTAGATTCTTAACAAATTTGTGCTGCCTTGTTTTAATACATAAAGCAGATGTCTGATTAAAACAAATAATTCAAATATGGATGTTATTTTCCTTTTCAGGTTGTCTTGCTCTTCCCAAGTTGAATTTGCAGTTTTTGACTCTTCATGATTACCTCCTAAGGAACTTTAATCTCTTCCGCTTAGAATCAACTTACGAAATTAGGCAGGACATCGAGGATAGTGTCAGCAGAATGAAGCCATGGTTAGTAAATTGGTTCCACTTGCAATGAAGAGATGCAAACAGTGACTGACGTACTTCTGTCAGAAACCTCACATGTGTAATTAGAAATAATATATCTGTGGTGAAGATGCCCTTTAAAATATGAGATATTTACTCTGTGAGAAGTTCTTGAATGTGAGTTAGATATATCCAAAGTGCTAAAATAGAAAATATGTATCTGGGTCGTTGGAAGTGGGGCTGAGGGTAAGAGAAGAGAGGTCATTGTTCTGGGAAGTGGGGCGGGAGGGAGAAATGTAGGGGGGAGTAGGTTGGGCATTAGTAAAAGGGTAAAGAGGGAAGGGTATGGGCTGGCCAGCAGGCCTGTACTAGGCAGGGCAGTTTAAGTCCTGGGAGAAGCTTACGATAAAGGGGTATTCTATTACTCCAGCCGCTCTTGTGGCTGTCACCACTAGTCTCAGTCAGCCTCTCTAAAGGACCTGGCAGGAGATGAGGGGCATAGCTGAACATTGCACAGAGTGGAACATTGGAATATCTTCCCTTCCCTCCATCCATAGGTTGCCTTGAAGAGACTAAATCATCAGCATTTACTTTTAGGGCCTGTTGAGTAGGTTTCGTTATTTGAAGAACTTTTCTGCCTAAACTCAGCTTTCCACCTGCTAGCTTCTGTCTGGAACTCCTTTAGCTAAGAAAAGACTTTCATTCTGTTGTAGGCAGCTCTGCATTATAAGATTTATGAAGGTTCATTTTGCTTTTTAGACATGACTAACTTCGGGTAAATGCCCTTTGTTCACTATTTCATTCTAGGTATGAAATTATTGGAGATAAGTTATATATCACAGTTGACTGTAAATGAGTAAAATAATTCTGTAAAATGAATTTTCATTAAATTATTGTCACACCATGCATACATATGTACAATTATACTGCATTCTGTGTGAAAAGCTTAACATATTTTGAGTGTGAACTGATTCAGGTATCTTCCAGGCTTCTCTCCTTCCTAATTACAGAGAGCTGCATGGACACTGTGATTATGATGTTTTTTTCACTTCCATATTTTATTTCATACACAGTTCTAGTTTTTAATTAATTATTATGTGAAAAGTTATTCTGGGTGAGAGTCTAAAACACAACAGAGTATTTTTGACTTAATAATCAGTTGAGTCAGTGGGCAGGCTAGCGCTGTGCAATTTGTATACCCACTGGCTGATCGTCTCTGCCCACAGCTTTGCTGAAATTATTGCCCATTGTTTGGACCCCAGGGGAGTGCTTGATCAGAAAGCTGCCTTATAATTTATGGTTACCTTGCACTTATATGCTCAGACTCTGGACCTAATTTTGGTCATTTTGCAAAGTAGGGACTTAGTAACTAGCAGCTCAAGTAGAATTCATTTATATTTTACTTAAATGCCAAATAAAGCAGTAATACTTGGAGTTCTTATGGTTTATTAATAAAATATATATATATTTTTCTTGTGTTACGCGGGCCTCTCACTGTTGTGGCCTCTCCTGTTGCGGAGCACAGGCTCCGGACACGCAGGCTCGCAGCCATGGCTCACGGGCCCAGCCGCTCCGCGGCATGTGGGATCTTCCTGGACTGGGGCACGAACCCGTGTCCCCTGCATTGGCAGGCAGACTCTCAATCCCTGCGCCACCAGGGAAGCCCCAATTTTTTAAAATTTACATTATTTTCTGCTAGTGGAAGAAAATGTTACGTTTTGGAGATAACTATTGATAATAAATTTTTCTAAATTTTCATTCCTAATTGCCCATTATTGGAAACTGTTAAAAATTATGAGATCTTAAGGGATAGGGCTTCCTTCTGTTTCATGTCTTGAAGGTGGAAAAGTAGCAGAGGCATTTTTACTTATTGTGTAGTTCTAATCATGTTTTTAGGCTACTGAAACTACTGAGCAGTGTAAAAGAGGATGTGCTTATGAGGATCAGAAATCTATACTCTTTTAATGCCTCATGTTGCAGGTAGATTTTATAAAGGAGGAAAGAATTGGGGAGAGTAGATTAGTGGTTGCTTGGGAGTAGGAAGGGTTGACTGCAAGTAGACAAGAGGGATCTTTTTAAAGTATGATGAAGATGTTCTAAAATTGGATTGTGGTGATGGATGCACAACTTTGTAAATTTACTAAAAGTTATTGTACATTTACAGTGAATGAATTTAATGGTATATGAACTATATTGCAATAAAGTTGTGAAAAATGGGGGAGGTGATAGAAAGTTATTACAAAAGCTTTTAGACACAAGGTAATGCCTTTTAGAAATTGTTTTAGTACTGACCAAGTCATTGGATTGCAGAACTTTTATTTTTAATCAGTTTCACTCTTTGATGTTATGAAGTTTTATAATTTTCTGTTATTTACAAAAGTCTTTACTTAGGATATAGGTTTTCTTTATCTTTGTAAGCGTGTCATTTTTGGCAGTACTTTACAATTTTGGAGTGTTGCTGCAGTTTTTGTATTACAGATTTCCCCAATACACTATTTAATGTAAAAGCTAAAGCACCAATATAAGAAGAAAGAATGAATATTTGCTTGTTGGTGGTTCTGGTTATTACAACTAGCTTGATGATTCCCCACACTGCCATCCATAGCAGTGTCTTTTCAGTGTTTTAAATATTGTGCCCTAAAGAAAGCATTTGCATAGATATTGTCATTTGCTTGTTTTTAATTTCTTAAGGTCTAGCTTGTTCTAAAAGATTTTTGAAGCAACTTATAGAAGTATTTATAGTACATAAGATAAAATGTAAACAGTTGAGGCTATCCTGATGAAGAGGGGAAGAGGGTAAGAATATAAAATAAAACTGAATGTGCTGGATTATTTCATTCTTTGACAAAATGGCTCATCTCTTACGTACATAGAGTTATATGTTTTTCTGGGAATGTGGGGGACATTCCTCTACTTCCCTTTCTTTTGTGGGCCATGTTTGCCTGTTTCATCCTACCATATATACTTCCTAAATATTGAGACTTAGGGGGTTTTTTTAGTTTAGAAATAAGAGTTACTAATGTTAGGGCTTAAATACTAGCTAGCCACGTATTCTTAGTTACTAGTTTAACTTGTCCAAAGTTGAGCAAAAGTTGATCTTTGCTTGGGTAACCAGTCTTCTGCTTCTGGTTTCCAGGCAGTCTGAGTATGGCGGGGTGGTATTCGGTGGCTGGGCGCGAATGGCCCAGCCCATCGTGGCGTTCACCGTGGTGGAGGTTGCCAAACCCAGCATAGGCGAGAACTGGCCAACCCGGGTTCGCGCAGATGTCAGCATCCATCTGAACGTCAGAGACCACATCAGAGATGAGTGGGAAGGTAACTTTGCCTTTCAAGAAGTGGTCACCTTTTGCTGTTACAATTTATAGACTTTCACTTAGAGCATTAGCAAAGCACATTCACCAGATATTGCCCTTTTAAATTTATTAAATTTTATCTTTAAAATTTGTTTTAAAGAATGGCAATTGATTTATAGTTATTACTAGTAAAAATACCAAAGATCATACAAGAATAATTAAATACCTTCATACTCTAATAAAAAGCGTAAAATAGCACATATATCAGTGAAAATTGCAGTTGGCAGAGCTGAGAGGAGAGCATTTTAAATCATAAAATTTAGGAAGATAATGTTTATGAATTTATAGGATCACTATAAAAAGAATAAAATATTTGTGTTCACTAAAGAAAGGGGGGAACCCACATATAACTTGCACACATGCAAAGCAAGTAAGGAAAATTGGTATTTTTAAGAGATAAAAGCAGCCAAAGTAAAGTGAACAGGGATGCATACAATTTGTACCAAAGAGAAGAAGTCAGATAAAAAAAATCAGTGAAATCAAATGTATTCAAGGATAAATAATAATTGCAGGGAAGTTATTTTCCCTATTCTTTACTAAGCAAGATTTTAGGGATGGGAGTTATATGTCACAATTTTATTTAGAGGCAGATATGTTCTAAGTTACTAAGTCAAATGGAGTTAAAACATCAATACCACCTGTGCCAGAAATGGCATGTAAACTGATTTTTAATTGGCACTTTTGTATTTTTCTCCCAGCTGTCTGTGAGAGCTCTTGCTGTCCCATTATGAGAAACAGGAGCTGGTAGGTTTTATCTCCTTCTACCTTCTTGGCATGCCAGAAGGAAAGGGATAGTCCCTTAATGGATCAGTTTTCAGAAATTATTGCTCTCAATATAGCTGTTTATAACCATAGGGTCTGTATGATATATTTATCAAATAATTCTGAAGGAAGCCAGCAACAAAGCTGGCCAAATGTTTAACAAATGGCCACCATAGTTGGTATAGTTTGTGACAGATTGTTTTTTTGGCTCTTGTATCCTTCAGAATTGTTCAAATCTGGTGTATTACACATCTAGAATAATACATACCCTTATTATTGCTGAATTGTAAGAAAGTCATTCAGTTGCTGAAGAAGGTTTTACATTTATCTCCCCTTGGAGCTTAAGGAGGTATTAAAATAAACACTGTTTTACATAGTGGGTAATGAACTGAAATAACTTATTGGCCACCCCTAGAAGCAGTGATGGCTAGAAGTAAAACTTGAAGGAAAAAAAAGACCCTTTGTAGAAATGTATAGATGACAGATGACAAGCCTGCATTATAGTGTTAAGGAAAAAAAAGGATTTGTTACCCCAAACCCCTTACGAGTCTCTTACCTCCATTACTTTGGAGACTGGTAGTCAGAAGGCCATCAAATAGTCTTTTTTGTTTTTTTAAACATAGGCCTCTGGTAGATGAGAAATAGAATGGGTAGATTTTGATGGGCAAGATAGGGAACAACAGGGTATTGTGGGACAAGCAGTTCATCTGGGGCATGGTGGGGAGAAGAGTGTTTTCTGGGAGGCCAAAGCCAAAATGCAGGCCCTTTATTGATTCCAGATAGAGCAACCAAGTAAAAAGTGAGAGGGAGGTTCTGTAAATAGCAATGAACACTGTCCTGTAAAAACAGAAAATTTTTGAAGAATTTAAGCTAAATGCTGTAAAACATTGTTGTCCCTTCAAGAAGGTGTGAAGCTCAGGCCCTTATCTTCTCCCATCACCCCATTTAAAATTAACGAAACAGAATTAGTGAAACTGAAATGTTGGATCCTGCCCTAGAAGGCACAGCCAGGAGTAAATGCAAATGGTTGAAAGGAGAGTTCAGCTTATTGTAATACAGGTATTTTTAATGTGGATGTAAGACGTCCCACAGCATCCCTCTGTGATGCCAAAAGGTAACATTGGTAGGTATTAAATTACTTCTCAGGGCCACTTCTTTGGCTCTGAGACTGGGAAGTTTTAATGAGTTGTGCAGATCAGAAGTCGTATAGGTGGTACAACTCACATAGTAGATCATTTCCCCTTAGTTTTCATTGTTCTCCTGCTTCTTCGCATAGAATCTGTTGGGAAATAAACAATGAAGTCATAATTATGAATCAGTTACTATTTCTAGCACACTTAAACCCTATTCCATATTGAAACAAACCAGAATGGTGCGAATTAATACTATTAGCCACGCACTCACATGGCTGGTTTGATTTAGTTGTATCTCTTATTACCAAGGTTATGAGCAAGCAGACTGTTTAAATTTGCATTTATACTATACAATGACTAACAGAAGTGACTCGGGGGACTTCCCTGGTGGCACAGAGGTTAAGAATCCGCCTGCCAATGCAGGGGACACGGGTTCCAGCCCTGGTCCGGGAAGATCCCACATGCTGTGGAGCACCTAAGCCGGTGCATCACAACTACTGAGCCAGTGCTCTAGAGCCTGTGAACCACAACTACTGAGCCAGCGTGCCACAACTGCTGAAGCCCGTGTGCCTAGAGCCCGTGCTTTGCAACAGAGAGAGGCCACCACAATTAGAAGCCTGCAACGGAGAGTAGCCCCCCGCTCACTGCACCTAGCGAAAGCCCGTGTGCAGCAATGAAGACACAACACAGCCAAAAATAAATAAATAAATAAAACTAAAGTAAAAAATGAATCGGGGGGAAAAAATGAAGATTAAGTGGTGTAACATTATATGCTGTGTGGTCTAATTTTGTGTCCCTTGTCTTCCAGTGTGTATTTTTTAATAGAGCTGGGAATCCAGTTGAATCCATAATTTGAGCCAATGACTGAGAAACTACAGACTTTGGCACAAGTCTCCTATTTCTTGGCATTTGCTTATAAAAATTTCAGCATTTGCCAACTGAAGCAATATATATTCAGCTGCCTTCTCAAGATGCTATCTATAAACAGTGCTTTTGTGCCTTGATGAATTATTCTAGACTTGACCTCTTCTGGTGAAATACAATTAGACTGTTGTTGAAATGACACTGATGGACAATTTAAACTGATGTTCGAAACCTGCTAAATATGATATAGATGGATTACATGCCAACCATATTTTTGGTTACTTATTAAGAATGTTATAAATAAGAATGATGACAAGCATCCAGTTTTGGAGCTGTAGCGTGATCTGGAGGACTTATTCAGTAATGTATAAATGGCATAAAAGTTTCTAATTTTAATATAAAGAGAAATTTTTATTTAATTATTGCTGTCAAACATTGAGTATTGAAGGTTATAGGAAAACCCATAATTGTATTACAAAGCACGTATAATCATTGATCACCTCTGATATTTTAAATGTTTTATATACCTTTTCAAAAGATAAGAGGATGAGAATTTGCCAACAGGAGACAAAGCAATGTCATTCTAATAAGTGGAAATGTCTTTTGTGTTTTACTAGGACTTCGGAAGCATGATGTATGCTTTTTAATTACCGTACGTCCCACAAAACCTTATGGTACCAAGTTTGACCGGAGGAGACCTTTTGTTGAGCAGGTTGGCCTGGTTTATGTCAGAGGCTGTGAGGTCCAGGGCATGCTGGATGATAAAGGGCGTGTCATTGAAGACGGTATGGTGATCTGCATGTTCGAAAGAGTGTGTATACGTAATGATAAATGTCTTTGCCATTTTTCCTTTTTGTGTCCTAGGTGATTTTTTTTAGTTGTTTTATATACCAAATCAACACAAAGAATTATATATAAAAGTGTGTAGGGTACCTACGACCCAGTTTTAGAAATAAATAATATGGTTTCTAAACTTCTGTTTTAGATATTGGACAGGATCTTTTGGAATTGCCAATATTTAAAATTCTTCCTTATATGATACTTTACAATATTGCTTTTAAAAACCTCTAAACACCTCTTATAGTTGTTCAGTGATATATTTTTCTCATTTTTCCTTTCTAAGTTTTACTGATTTGATTCATGAGAGCAGTGGTTCTCAAATGGAAACAGCACTACCCTGTGTTTCAAAATACATGGTGGTATGTCACATGACTGGGGTAAAGGAAGGGGATGGTGAGCTCTTGGTGTTTGATGCACCAAGTCCAGGATGCACCAAGTCCGGGATGTTGAGTACCTTAGCAGAACCGTCTTCTAGAAGGGACTGCCCTGCCCAAGATGCCAGCATTACCCTATTTAGAAACACAGTTTGATTTCTTAGACTTAACTGATTGTTTTTTGAAATTCTTTCTTTTGTTGTCCTGACTTTTTTGATAATACTTACTATTAAATTATAACTGCATCTATGTTCAGTGCTTATTTTACAATTTGTTTATGAAGCTTCTCTCAGAACTTGAATCAGCTTCTACTACCTGTGATTTCAAGATCGAATCATTGCTAAGGGGCTGAAAATTAGGCTACTCTTATCACTAGAATAAAAGAAAAAGGAGAAGAGAATGGAGGACAGGTAGAATAAACATAAGGCCACATCCTGGGACCAGAGTTGGAGGTCTAAGGCAAAAAGAAAGGAGAGAGGGCATAGGGGCAAGAAAAAGCATCTGAGCTTTCAGCCACTAGTATATGAAATTTCCTGTTATACTAGTGATGTTACACATGGAATATGGAAGGACAAAAAGAGTAATCAGCTGAGTACCTACTATATGTAAGGCGATAGGAGGAGCTATGAGTAACTGACACAAGTAAAGTTCTTTGACCTCTAAGGATCCTATTCTAGTTGAGGGCATACACAAATAATTGCAATTCATGGCATTGCACCATAAACATCACATGACTGTCTGGGAAGAAATAGTGACAGTTTAGAGAAAGGAGAAAATATTTTCAGCTTGGAACTCAAAATGGATGAGTGGAAGGCATTCTAGTTGGGGGAATTGCTGGAGTTAAATCTGGACACTTTACTCATCATTTCTAGAAAAGGAGTTCTGCTAACTTACTATGATATTTGAAAAGTATATATTTCATTTAATAAACTTTAAAAAAATGTCTAGGACCTGAACCCAGACCCAATCTTAGAGGAGAATCAAGGACATTTAGAGTGTTTTTGGATCCAAACCAGTATCAACAAGATATGACCAATACAATACAAAATGGAGCAGAAGATGTGTATGAAACTTTCAATATAATAATGCGGAGAAAACCGAAGGAAAATAACTTTAAGGTAATCTGGGGGCTATAAACTAAAAGTAGTATTTCATAATTTGAATAACTTTTAAGACATAAATATGTAGATCCTACGTTAAAAAAGATTTGTTAAAATAACGATCACTGCTTGTGTTTAGATTCTAAACAAATCTCTTAAATTCTTAACATATAGATTAAATATAAAAACTTAAGTAAATTTATTTGCTAAATCTTACTTTGTCTTTTGATGAGTTTGGAAACTTAAAATATAAATTAATCCAGGTATTATTTTAAAAATCAGCCTCCCTTCTTGCTTTTCATATATTAGATACTCAGTTTATGCTTCAGTCTGAGATGAAGAAAACTGCTTGTTTGTTTACTGAGACTTCTTTTTTAAATCAAATGTAGGTGTATTTTCAAAGTACTTTAGCAGTACAAATGTGGAACCTCAGGGTTCTAAATTACTGTGATATTTTGTATTTATACTTTACTCATTAGTGGGAAAAGGGAAGTTTGGGGGCTAGAGAGTTTTACCTTTATAATAACTTTATGGAGAGAAAAGGAGTTTTAGTAAGGAAGAATTTGGAAGTATTATTTGAAACTATACTATAAAACTTAAACATTGAGCAGTTCTAGCATTTGATAACACTAGCTTTTGCACAAATGCCTTTCTTTTCTCTCTCCCCCAAAATAGTGCTTCTTATACATTATCACTTTATTACCATTTTTAAAAAAAGAAAATCTCATATACAAAGGAATTTATTTTCTATCTCACACTCCACATCCAATCCATCAATCAGTCTAATTACCTTACCACCTCCACTGATGCCATGTGCAAGACACCTTCATCTCTCACATGCCTGCTTCTCTTCTTGACTGCTCCTCCCCTTATATTATTCTCCACATAGTGACTGAATGTGAATTATACCTTGGTACCTCTGTTCACACTCTTTAGTGGTCTCCCATCACAGTAGAAAGTTGTTACCATAATCCAAAAGTCCCATTATTATCTGTCCTCTGGCTGCCTCTCCAACACCATCTTCTAACACTTTTTCCTTATTCACTCCATGCCAGTCACACTGACCCTTTTGCTCCTCTTTCATAATGCAGGCTTCTGTACATGGTATTTCCGCTTACCTAGACAGTCTTCTCCCAGGTATCTACATGGTTTTTCCTTTCACTTTACATGGGCAGCTCTGTTTAATTTCTAAGAGGAAGCATTTTTTTAAGGGTTTGTTCTATAATGGTCTATAATTATAGACCACATCAGGTCTATAATGTGTAGACCTGATCAGATTTTCATCCTGCTCAACAGAAGTCAAGTGGTAAACTCGTCTATGACATTCTGTCTAAACGAACTACTAATGGATAAACTGTTCTTGCTGAGTTTGGTCTTTTGTTTAACTCAGTGTATGGTATCAGCTGAAAATATAGCTGTTGATTCACTCTAGCCAAGCACCTGTCAGCAGAAAATAGCTTCTTGCCCTGAAACACTCAGGAATTCTGGTTAGTGCAGCCAGCTTGGCATTCCATTGAAGTGCAAATGTTTGAGATGTCTTCTTCACAAAATCCGTTTTTGTCCTCTTACTGACAGGCTGTGCTGGAGACTATTCGGAACCTGATGAATACTGATTGTGTGGTACCTGACTGGCTGCATGACATCATTTTAGGTTATGGGGATCCAAGTAGTGCACATTATTCCAAAATGCCCAATCAGATCGCCACCCTTGATTTCAATGATACATTTTTCTCCATTGAGCATTTAAAAACCAGCTTTCCTGGTCATAATGTTAAAGTAACTGTGGATGACCCAGCTCTACAGATACCCCCTTTCAGGTAAAGTCAAAACTGGATATACTCCTTTTAAGCTTTCTGTAGTCAGTCTGAGTTAGGCCATCAGGACTGTAGCTAAAGTAAGTTTTGAGTATCATATCTGGATTATGTTTGGGTAGTCTTTACCCTCACCATATAATCACTGGGATAAATTTATTTCTAATTCTTTGTGTAGTAGCTATTTTAAGACCACAGTAAAAGTAGCCTCATGTCTTACAAGGGTTCAGTAAATGCTTTTTGTCTGAAGAGTACTATATAAATGTAGCTGTAGCATTTGACTGAAGAAATATGTGCTAATTAATAAACACATAGCCATGTGATTTTGAACTTTCTTTTGTTTTAGGAAAAAATTCTCTTTTTTTCTTTTAACCCTGATTGCTTTTACAAATTTTAAATATTCATAATATAGTTATACTCAAAGTTAAAGGAGCTTTGGTTTAATTTGAGTAGAAAAAGAACAAAGTACCTGAAGTGCTGATTGCTTCATGAATTCTGTCATATGGATTAGTGGCGAAGCACTAAGTATACCTTGGTGGTAGCAGAGGACTTAATTACTTTCTTAGTTGCAAATTAGAATGTTTTTAATTAACTGTTATATATAAATATAATAATTCTGCATATTAAAAGCATGTATGCTTTATAACTGCCAAACCTAGTCTTCCTCTGTACTTTCCTCATCTTGTTAATGGCAAAATCATCTTGAAATCTCAGCAGTGCTTTTTTTTTTGTTTGTTTGTTTTTGTGATACGCGGGCCTCTCACCATTGTGGCCTCTCCTGTTGCGGAGCACAGGCTCCGGGCGCGCAGGCTCAGTGGCCATGGCTCACGGGCCCAGCCGCTCCGTGGCATGTTGGATCCTCCCAGACTGGGGCACGAACCCGTGCCCCCTGCATCGGCAGGCGGACTCTCAACCACTGCGCCACCAGGGAAGCCCAACACTTCAGTCTTTATAATGGCAATGTCTTTGCTCCCTCTGTCTCCTTGCTTAAACCCATTACATGCCTTACTGCTAGAGTCATTCCATTGTCTAACAGTTTAATTTTAGGGTATTCATCAACTTCCTCAGGTACCTATGGGAAGTTGCCTGCTGAGGTATCCCTGACCCCAGGCTAAGAACTTCTGCCTTAAAGGCTTGATATTCCAAAGGTGTCAGAACAAGGCTCCCGCCTTTCTCTCTAGCCCTTATTTTCTCTATTGTATCCTACACTTCAGCAGAACTGGCTACTTCTTTCTTCCTGGAATGTCTATTGAAATTCATTTTAGATGCCACCTTTCCCATAAAGCCTTTTCTGATTAAATGAAGGACAGTGTGTAAGGCACTTTACAGTGCATGTGCCGTAAGCATATAAATTTTCTTTTGTAAACATGCTAAGTGAAAGAAACCAGACAGAAGAAAACAAATATTGTATGATTCCATTTACATGAAATGTCCAGAATAGGACAGTATAAAGACAGACTGCCAGAGGCTGGGTTTAGGTTGGAATACAGAGTGACTACTTAATTGCATGGGTTTTCCTTTGGACTGCAAAATATCCTGGCATTAGAGAGTAGTGATGACTATACAACATTGTATAAAACCCATTGAATTGAACCTTTAAAATGGTAAATTTTATATTATGTGAATATTACCCCAATTAAAAAATAGTTAATTATTTCCCCTAAAAAAACAAAATAAATATATAAATAAATGTTTCTTCTTTGATTCTCCTTTAATCAGATGACTTTTTTCTTAATCTAAACACCCTTAACTGCATTTTAATGCTTTTAAATATACTTTTTTCAAAATTTATGTGCAGATAGTAAGTTCCTTTAAACTATAGATGTTTCTTACTCATCTGATTATCCTCTATACAATGTCATGCACAAGATAGGTGCTTGGTAAATTGTTGTTAATTGTAAAAATGAACAAGGTTTTGCTCTTGTAGGATAACTTTTCCAGTAAGAAATGGAAAGGGGAAGAAAAGGAAAGATGCAGAGAAGGAAGATGAAGACACTGAAGAGGCAAAAACCTTAATTGTTGAACCTCATGTTATTCCTAATAGAGGTCCTTATCCTTACAACCAGCCCAAACGGTAATTTCACTATTTCTGCTAATTGTAATAATGAATAATAGTTTGCTATTTCAAGTGGATTAGTAATATTTAAAATTTTTTCTGATTTTAAAAATTATTTAGAAACTTCTGTTTCTGGACCCTGTTTACTTCTCTTCTGTTAGTTTTGGCCATTTGTAGTAATATTTTTGGCCATTCTGTAGTTAGTAATATTTCAAAAAGAAACATTTTCAGGTACTATGAGAAATAAATATTAACAGTCTACCTTAATGTGAGCACAAGGTTCTTACTTCATGACCATGTGTTGCATTTAGCAGCTACCATTGTGCTTGTGTGCCATGACTAATAAAGTGGCATTGTATTTGGTGTTAGATTTGGAACTAGAATTTTGACACTCTTGTTAAGATCTGGGCTGGGCTAAACGTATTGGAAAATAACTGTAGTCTTTTCTTTCCATAAAATTCATGCAGTTTTAATTGGTCTGTGGAGGGGCGGAGGTAAAGAGGGTCATTCAGAAGAGATTGGGCCAGTCATGTAGGATGTAAAGTTCTTGAGATCTGCTGTGCAACATTGTGCTTATAGTTAACAACACTGTACTGTACATTTAAAATTTGTTAAGAGGGTATATCTTATTTTATGTACTGTTTACTGCACACACACCCACAGAAAGGGCTGGATTGGGAGGAGGAAGAAATTGGGAAACAAGGGGCAAATACAGAGCAGATGTTCAGACCTCTGGTCATTGTTGTCTAAATTCTTACTAACGTCATCCATCTTTATTTTTAACGAACTTCTTATCAACTCTTATTTGAAGGAATACAATTCAGTTCACTCATACACAGATAGAGGCCATCCGTGCTGGAATGCAGCCTGGGCTAACTATGGTAAGAGAGTTACTGTTCTACAAGTTCTTAAATGGATTCAGACTAGAAGTGTCAGATTTTCAGCGTGTATTCTGTTTTAAGGCCAAAAACCCAACTGAATTAAGTGTTTATAAGTAATTGTGGCATCTTATGTGTATGGACGCTACTCATTTCAATGTTCATAAATAAAGTTTTGTTAGAACCTCACTGTGGCCATTCATTTATGTATTGCCTGTAGCCATTTTTGTGCCACGACAGCAGAGTTTAAATACTTGTAGCAGAGACTGTATGGGCCACAAAGAGTAAAATGTTTACTTGCTGGCCCTGTACAGAAAAGGTCTGTTGACAGTGCTTTAGAAATGTGTTTAATTTCCAAGTATTTGAAGGTTTTTACTGATTTCTGGTCTAAGTCCATTATAGTCAGAGAACATACTTTCTATGATTTCAATTTTTTTTAATTTATTAAGGTTTGTTTTATGGCCCAGGATATGATTTATTGGTGAATATTCTGTGTGCACTTGAAAAGAATGTGTGTTCTGTTGTCTTGGGTGGAGTGTCCTGTTTATGTCAATGAGATCCATTTGGTTGATGCTGTTATTCAGTACTTGTCTATCCCTGCTGGTATTCCACATACTATTGCTGTTGCTGACTGAGAGAGGAGTATTGAAGTCTCCAACTATAATTGTGAATTTGTTTCTCCTTTCAGTTTTGTCCATTTTTGCTTCATGTATTTTAAAGCTTTATGGATATGTACATACACTTTCAGGGTTGTTGTGTCTTCTTGGTGAATTGACACTTTTGTCATGTATAATGTCTGTATCACTGGTAATTTTCTTTACTCTAAAGTTTACTTTGATATTAATATAGCCATCACAGCTTTCTTTTGATTAGTGTTTACATGATATATCTTTTCCCATCAGTTTACTTCTAACCTACCTATTATATTTGAAGTGAGTTCCTTGTAGACAGCATATAGTTGGTGCGTGGTTTTTTTCCTCCATTCTGACAAGTCTCTGCTTTTAATTGGTGTGTTCAGTCCATTTACATTTAATGTACTTATTAATGTGTTTGGGTTTAGGCCTACCATTTCATTATTTGTTTTATGTTTGTTCCCTTTTTTGTGTGTTCCTGTTTCCCTTTTCCTGCCTTCTTCTGAGTTATTTGGATAGTTTTTAGTGTTTCATTTATATTTATCTATTTTGTTCTTTTATTATATCTCTTGTATAGGTTTTTCTTAATGGCTGCTCTAGAGAATTACAATATACATACTTACTCTTTCACAGCCTACTTAGAATCAGTATTCTGTCTCTTAAATTGATTGGAAGATCCTTGCTTCTATATAGGTCCCTTTACCTTCCCCTTTTATGTTGTAGTTGTCATATGTTTTACCTGTAAATACACTGAAAATACCATCAGGCAATATTAGAACTTTTTCTTGCAGACATCAAACATATTTTAAAGAACTCCAGAGGAGAAGAATAGTCTGTTATATTTACCATTTATCCTTTATTCCTGATATCTCAAGTATCCTCTGGTATCATTTCCTTTGTCTGAGGATTTCTTTTACCAGTTTTCTTTTTGTTGGGGTTTTTTTTGTGGGGGGGGGGGATACGCAGGCCTCTCACTGTTGTGGCTTCTCCCGTTGCGGAGCATGGGACGCGCAGGCTCCGGACGCACAGGCTCAGCAGCCATAGCTTACGGGCCCAGCCGCTCCGTGGCATGTGGGATCCTCCCAGACTGGGGCACGAACCCGTGTCTCCTGCATCGGCAGGCGGACTCTCAACCACTGCGCCACCAGCGAAGCCCCCTTTTACCGGTTTTAAGAGCAGATCAGCTAGCAATGAATTACCTTTATTTTCCTTCATATGAGAATGTCTCTAATTCATCTTCATTCTTTAAAGATATTTTCACTGGACAAAGAATATTGCATTGATAGTTTTCTCCTTTCAGCACTTTAAAAATGTTATTCCACTTCCTTTTGGCTTCCATGTTCTGATGAGAAGTCCACAGTCATTTGAAACATCTTTTTGCTATATGTAATATATCATTTTTCTCTGGTTGCTATTAAGATTTTTTTCTCTGTCTTTAGATTCCAACCATTTAATTATTGTGTCTGGCCTTAGATTTCTTTAAGATTATTCTGTTTATGGTTAAATGAGCTTCTTGAATCTGCAATTTATGTCTTTTGCCAGATTTGGGAAATTTTCAGCCATTATTTCTTTAAATACTTTTTCTACACTGCATGCTTTTCCCCTTCTTTCTAGGATTAGAGAGATATGTTATACCTTTTAATATTGCCTCATAGATTCACAAGGCTGTGTGTATTATTTTTTTAATCTTTTTTTTTCTGCTTGTTGTTCAGGTTGGGTGATTTCTATTGATTTGTCTTCAAGTTCACTAACTCTGTCTTGTCCATTCTGCATTGAACTTACCCAGTGAATTTTTAAATTTATTTTATCTTTCAGTTTTAAAATCTCCATTTTCTAACTATGTGATAACTTAGTAGTTTGCTATGTGTTCATCTGCTTTTTAGGTTGTGGGCCCACCAGGTACAGGAAAAACAGATGTGGCAGTCCAAATCATATCCAACATCTACCACAATTTCCCAGAGCAGAGGACTCTGATTGTTACTCATTCCAATCAGGTAAAAGAGAGAGTGTGTATGTGCGTGTGCATGCATGCACTCCATACATGCATGTATGAAATGGACATGCATGTATGGAGTGGGAGATGCATGAAAGCACAATGGAGATTTCTGCTTATATGATAACCTGATTATGGGCTCACAGAGTACCAGGAAAGGCTGATGAGCATAATGTTTGTTATTGAGTTAATCTTGGATTATCTCTGGTCATGACTAGACCATATTGAGAAAAATATAAAAACAATCTTTTATTTCGAATAGAGGCAGTCCAAATGTGGAAAAGCTGAGAAGAATATTTGGATATGTGGTAATTGCCTTTTTCTCCTATCATCCATGCTAAGCTAGACCTTTTACTTTGAGATCAAAAGCATTATCCCTTACTAGTAGTATTTTTCTACTAGTAGAATGGATATTCCTAAAAGACTAAATCCAGATCATATTAATACTGGATTAAATTTTAAATCCTTATAAAATATGCATATGAATATGTATATTACATGGAAGGACAATTTTAGGTTGCAGGTCCAATACATAAGGCATTTATAAATAGCTAAAACAAGGAAAACAAACTCCTTTCTTGTAAATAATGGATGAAAAATGGTCTTTACATCTGTATGTGTGCTGAGGTAATTATTCTGAAGCTGTCACTACCATAGACATGAAAAAGAACAAGTGATATTAACTCTAATTTAAATGTGACAGGGAGCTAGCTCTCAGAACATTCTGAAACATGTTATGAAACTCACATGGTAGTCTAAATCTCCAAAGGTACTTGTTTTCTCTGAATACGTATTAACAGTAGTGATTTCAGTTGACCAATTCTTTAAAAAAGTTGGTCTACAGAGGAACACTGAGTTTTTAGAATGCTAAATGTTATTTACGGTTATTCATCAACTTAATCTCAGGATTTTAAAATTAGTACTATCCAATTCATTCACTTATGTTTTTATTTCTTTAAAGTTTATAAGTAACTGACCTGGTGTACTAAAATTGTGCACAAGAGAGGGTTAAGACTTTATCTTGATAAAAGAAACATTAACTGTGTAAAGACTTTTTTCTTCTATTTAATAAAATTCAGTCTATAATAATGTTACCTATTTACAGATACTTAGAATGAATAAGGAATTATTCAGTGTTGTTTTAACATAATATTTTTTAGTAAATTTTGTCATAACTTGATAATGACTTTCTATAGTATCCTCTACTTATGACTGTCTTGTGTAGCACAATTATAGAGAAGGGTATTTTGCAAAAATAGCCAAAGATTTCTTTGCTCCTTTGATAATCAGACCATCCTCTTAAACGCAAGTTGTTGATATTTCACAACTGTTTTGTTTACCAGATCTTGGTTCCCATCTATAATTCTAGCAGTTCTCCAACATCACTTTAATTCACGATGAAATCTTGCAGTTTTTTCTGAGATTGCAATGTGCTAGTATTTTTTGTCCCCTAAATCTATGTGGTTCGTGAGTTTGGATAGGAAAGGTTTGGACAGTGAGTAATGCCATGTGGTCTGATCTATTGCATCTCAAGTTTTAGATGGAAAATATCAAGAGTTTAGATAGCGTGAATTTTTTTCCTGAAGATTTATGTTTATCGCATCAGTTTCTGAGCTCTAATTGCTAGAATTTTGATAGCAAAGGATATCTGTATACCTTACGTAGCCTGGATGTTTACGAGACTGGATGCTGACCTCATGGGCGGGGTTAAACTAGTGGTAAATTGGGAGAAATATTTGAGTGGGGGCTAATTTTTAAATGTCATTTTATTAGCATATCTTTCCATGCAATGAAACTTTTGCCTTTCTGCAAAACCTTATAACTGCAGATGTTCAGATAGTAAATACTAGGATTTCAGGGAGCCCCAAATACGAACATTTCATAGGTAAATGGCTTTCATCAGAACAGTTTGCAATGAGTGCTCTGCTTCTTATTGTATAGAGAGCTAATTTAGACTTTCAGTCTAAGATTTGAATGTTGCACTTTACCTTTCCTCTCTGTGATCCTTTTGAAGTATTCTACCCACACATCTAAGAGGACTTCTCCAACCACAAAAACTTTTCAGTTTTCTGCAACTCATGGAAATTCTGTTAAATAAAATGAAACTTAATGTGATTGTTAATTATTTTACTAATTTTTACTACTTGAGAGAAATATATACTGAGCCAAAGCCTTCTCTTTTCATAAATTATCAGAGATGTAATGGATAGATGGTTTTTATGATTTCCAGTTACTAATTTGACCAAGTATACATATGTAGCGATATCAGAAATCAATAAAAATACTGTTTTGTTTAAATTATAAATGGCCTTAATATAAGATGTTTCCTTCTGTGTTTTTACTTTGATTCTTATCTGACTGGGCAATGCTCATTCGTTTCTATCCTTCTGATTGTTAGTTTTTGTTACTTTTAAAGGAGCCTACTGATTCTATAAAATTCTCCATCATTCTTTTTTTTTTTATTCTCCAGGCCCTGAACCAGTTGTTTGAGAAAATCATGGCTTTAGACATTGACGAGCGTCACCTCCTGCGTCTTGGTCATGGAGAAGAAGAGCTGGAGACGGAGAAAGATTTCAGCAGGTGAGCAAATGGGGATTAGTTTTGAAACGGTATACAAAGAATTTTTAACCTTCTCTTTTTCTTTAATAAAGAGCAGGAAAAGAGAGCAGTGAATACTCCAACTGAATTCTGAAGGGTTCTAGTGTAACCTACTTAGGCTATCCTAATTGAACCTAAAGTCTGTTCAGGATTTCCCTCTGCTCCAGTTCTGCATGTTTATGCCATTTTTTTCCTCATACAGTTATTTCAGTGAAGAGAGTTATCTTTTCATCTTGTTTAAATTGCATATATCCATTTGCTCTCTATTTATTGAAGTAATTTTTAATGTTGCCAAGCCCAAACTGTAAAACGTTTACGCAATTCCTGTTCACATTTCATCTGCACATTTAATTTGCATATATTTTAGGCACCAATTAACTGGATTCATTTAATGAAATGCAGTTGGAGATTAATGATAGTATAAGCTTTGGGGTTGTAAATATTAATTCAGGAACTTATTGCCAGTTTAGCTGGACTTTATGCTTAATATTACATATTATAAGGTGACTAAAACTTTAGAAGTCAAATTTCTTCTGCTGTTAGTATTTTGGGTTTTTCCTTTAAAGTTGCTTTATGATAGCTCATTTCATTTATATTTAAATTCATTTTTAAAGCATAGTTTCAGTCAATAGGCATAATTAACAGCTGTACATAATAAATACAGCCTTTGACTATTGAACATTACTTTTGACTAAATCGATTATAGACATCAAAAGAGCTAAAAGAGTGTTAACTTATTATGTTGCATTTATTTTGAGTTCTTGTATTAAAGAGATCACGCAACAGTTTTTCTTTTTAACCTCTTTATAGGAGTAGAATTGCTTTACAGTGTTGTGTTAGTTTCTGCTGTATAACAAAGTGAGTCAGCTAAATGTATACATATATCCCCATATGCCCTCCCTCTTGCGTCTCCCTCCCACCCTCCCTATCTCACCCCTCTAGGTGGTCACAAAGCACCCAGCTGATCTCCCTGTGCTAGGCAGCTGCTTCCCACTAGCTATCTGTTTTACATTTGGTAGTGTATATATGTCAATGCTACTCTTTCACTTCATCCCATCTTACCCTTACCCCTCCCCGTGCCCTCAAGTCCATTCTCTACATCTGTATCTTTATTCCTGTCCTGCCCCTAGGTTCATTAGAACCATTTTTCTTATTTTTTTAGATTGCATATATATGTGTGTTAGCATATGGTATTTGTTTTTCTCTTTCTGACTTCACTGTATGACAGACTCGGTCCATCCCCCTCACTACAAGTAACTCAATTTCGTTTCCTTTTATGGCAGAGTAATATTCCATTATATATATCTGGCACATCTTCTTTATCCATTCATCTGTCGATGGACACTTAGGTTGCTTCCATGTCCTGGCTATTGTAAATAAGGCTGCAGTGAACATTGTGGTACTTGTCTCTTTTTGAATTATGGTTTTCTCAGGATATATGCCCAGTAGTGAGATTGCTAGGTCATATGCCAGTTCTATTTTTAGTTTTTTAGGGAACCTCCATACTGTTCTCCATAGTGTCTGTATCAATTTACATTCCCACCAACAGTGCAAGAGGGTTCCCTTTTCTCCACACCCTCTCCAGCATTTACTGTTTCTAGATTTTTTGATGATGGCCATTCTGACTGGTGTGAGATTATACCTCATTGTGATGTTGATTTGCATTTCTCTAATGATTAGTGATGTTGAGCATCCTTTCATGTGTTTGTTGGCAATCTGTGTATCTTCTTGGGAGAAATGTCTATTTAGATCTTCTGCCTATTTTTGCATTGGGTTGTTTGTTTTCTTGATATTGAGCTGCATGAGCTGTTTGTAAAGTTTGGAGATTAATCCTTTGTCAGCTGCTTCATTTGCAAATATTTTCACCTATTCTGAGGGTTGTCTTTTTGTCTTGCTTATGGTTTCCTTTGCTGTGCAAAAGCTTTGAAGTTTCATTAGGTCCCATTTGTTTATTTTTGTTTTTATTTCCATTTCTCTAGGAGGTGGGTCAAAACGGGTCTTGCTATGATTTATGTCATAGAGTGTTCTGCCTATGTTTTCCTCTAAGAGTTTTATAGTGTCTGGCCTTACATTTAGGTCTTTAATTCATTTTGAGTTTATTTTTGTATATGGTGTTAGGAATTGTTCTAATTTCATGCTTTCACACATAGCTGTCCAGTTTTCCCACCACCACTATTGAAGAGGTTGTCTTTTCTCCATTGTATATTCTTGCCTCCTTTATCAAAGATAAGGGGACCATATGTGTGTGAGTTTATCTCTGGGCTTTCTGTCCTGTTCCATTGATCTATATTTCTGTTTTTGTGCCAGTACCATACTGTCTTGATTACTGTAGCTTTGTAGTATAGTCTGAAGTCAGGGAGCCTGATTCCTCCAGCTCCGTTTTTCTTTCTCAAGATTGCTTTGGCTATGCAGGGTCTTTTGTGTTTCCATACAAATTGTGAAATTTTTTGTTCTAGTTCTGTGAAAAATGCCATTGGTAGTTTGCTAGTGATTGCATTGAACCTGTAGATTGCTTTGAGTAGTATAGTCATTTGCACAGTGTTGATTCTTCCAACACAAGAACATGGTATATCTCTCCATCTGTTTGTATCATCTTTAATTTCTCTCATCAGTGTCTTATAGTTTTCTGCATGCAGGTCTTTTGTCTCCTTAGGTTGGTTTATTCCTAGGTATTTTATTCTTTTTGTTGCAATGGTAAATGGTATTGTTTCCTTAATTTCTCTTTCAGATTATTCATCATTAGTGTGTAAGAATGCAAGAGATTTCTGTGCATTAATTTTGTATCCTGCTACTGTACCAAATTCATTGATTAGCTCTAGTAGTTTTCTGGTAGCATCTTTAGGATTCTCTATGTATAGTATCATGTCACCTGCAAACAGTGACAGTTTTACTTCTTCTTTTCCAATTTGGATTCCTTTTATTTCTTTTTCTTCTCTGATTTCTATGGCTAAAACTTCCAAAACTATGTTAAATAATAGTGGTGAGAGTGGGCAACCTTGTCTTGGTCCTGATCTTAGTGGAAATGGTTTCAGTTTTTCACCATTGAGAACGATGTTGGCTGTGGGTTTGTCATATATGGACTTTATTATGTTGAGGTAGGTTCCCTCTCTGCCTCCTTTCTGGAGAGTTTTTATCATAAGTGGGTGTTGAATTTTGTCAAAAGCCTTTCCTGCATCTACTGAGATTATCATATGGTTTTTATCCTTCAATTTGTTAATATGGTGTATCACATTGATTGATTTGTGTATATTGAAGAATCCTTGCATTCCTGGGGTAAACCCCACTTGATCATGCTGTATGATCCTTTTACTGTGCTTTTGGATTCTGTTTGCTAGTATTTTGTTGAGGACTTTTGCATCTATGTTCATCAATGATACTGGCCTGTAGTTTTCTTTTTTTGTGAAATCTTTGTCTGGATTTGGTATCAGGGTGATGGTGGCCTCATAGAATGACATTTGGAGTGTTCCTCCCTCTGGTATATTTTGGAAGATTTTGAGAAGGATAGTTGTTAGCTCTTCTCTAAATGTTTGATAGAATTCGCCTGTGAAACCATCTGGTCCTGGGCTTTTGTTTGCTGGAAGATTTTTAATCAGAATTTCAATTTCAGTGCTTGTGATTGGTCTGTTTATATTTTCTATTTCTTCCTGGTTCAATCTCAGAAGGTTGTGCTTTTCTAAGAATTTGTCCATTTCTTCCAGGTTGTCCATTTTACTGGCATATAGTGGCTTGTAGTAATCTCTCATGATCCTTTATATTTCTGCAGTATCACTTGTTGCTTCTCCTTTTTCATTTCTAATTCTGTTGATTTGAATCTTCTCCCTTTTTTTCTTAATGAGTCTGGCTAATGGTTTATTAATTTTTTTTTATCTTCCCAAAGAACCAGCTTTTAGTTTTATTGATCTTTGCTATTGTTTCCTTCATTTCTCTTTCATTTACTTCTGATCTGATCTTTATGATTTCTTTCATTCTGCTAACTTTGGGGGGTTTTTGTTCTTTCTCTGATTGCTTTAGGTGTAAGTTTAGGTTGTTTATTTGAGATGTTTCTTGTTTCTTGAGGTAGGATTGTATTGCTATAAACTTCCCTCTTAGAACTGCTTTAGCTGCATCCCATAGGCTTTGGGTCGTCATGTTTTCATTGTCATTTGTTTCCAGTTATTTTTTGCTTTCCACTTCGTTTTCTTCAGTGATCTCTTGGTTATTTAGTAGTGTATTGTTTAGCCTCTATGTGTTTGTAGTTTTTACAGTTTTTTTCCTGTAATTGATATCTGGTCTCATAGCATTGTGGTCGGAAAAGATACTTGATACGATTTCAGCTTTCTTAAATTTACCAAGGCTTGATTTGGGACGCAAGATATGGTCTATCCTGGAGAATGTTCCATAAACACTTGAGAAGAAAGTGTATTCTGTTGTTTTTGGATGGAATGTCCTATGAATATCAATTAAGTCCATCTTGTTTAATATGTCCTTTAAACCTTGTGTTTCCCTATTTATTTTCATTTTGGATGATCTGTGCACTGGTGAAAGCGGGGTGTTAAAGTCCTCTACTTTTATTGTGTTAGTGTCAATTTCCCCTTTAATGGCTGTAAGCATTTGCCTTATGTATTGAGGAGCTCCTATGTTGGATGCATAAATATTTACAATTGTTATATCTTCTTCTTGGATTGATCCCTTGATCATTATGTCGTGTCCTTCTTTGTCTCTTGTAATAGTCTTTAAAGTCTATATTTTCTGATACAAGAATTGCTACTCCAGCTTTCTTTTGATTTCCATTTGCATGGAATATCTTTTTCCATCCCCTCACTTTCAGTCTGTTTGTGTCCCTACGTCTGAAGTGGGTCTCTTGTAGACAGCATATATACGGGTCTTGTTTTTGTATCCATTCAGCCAGTCTGTGTCTTTTGGTTGGAGCATTTAATCCATTTACATTTAAGGTAATTATTGATATGTATGTTCCTATTACCATTTTCTTAATTGTTTTGGGT